AGTTGTATATGAGTTGTATATGGATTTGTATGTGAATGTGCAGATGTATGCGTGCATGTATATGCATATAGATGTATGTTTATATGAACATGTGTGTGTACGTACGTGCACATAGACAGAAAACAAAAAAGTATGTAAATAAATAAACAAACAAAGTAACTAGTCAAGAAAAATGACCAATTAATGAACTAACCGATGAATAATAATAAATGTATACATAGTGTATGATTCATAGCTAAATACAATGTAATGACCATGGGTACGACGGCGCGACATCGCCGGTTGACGGATCTGGGCAAGCTTTGTTGCCTTCCTTTGATATATTAGGATACTGCCGAAAAGATCCGGATACTCTTTGTGGTTAATATTTTGTATTTAAAGGTCTGTTCATATAACCACAAGCATAACGGCATAACGCAAAGAAGGGATCAAGACAGAAAGATGTGTGCATCCTTCGTAAAATCGTACTGGGGATCACATGTGCACACCTTTTCTGCATGAAGCTCTTCGGTTACTCCTGCACAAATGAATACAAATAACTAATACCAAGATGAATATTCCTACGAATACAAGTGTTCATATTTATATAGATTTAATCTTAATGCTCGTATTAAAAACAATACTAATGCTAAGATTAATAAAAATATGTGTGCCAATACTCTTACGAATATGAATATTCAGTTATATTCAACCAAACTCGCATGTATGCTCTGTGCGTTCGTATCCAAACAGACCTTTACATGCAGCAGTATGGTCTCTGAGAGTAACACGCAAGAAGGGAGCGGAGATACGTCATCACACATAACATCGCGATGAGTGTACACGTAAAAACTGGACCCTGCTTTTTATCACTCCAACTAGACGCGTCGAGATTGCAGATGGTGTCCATGAACACGAAATCTATCGATACTTACAGGGGGTTCGGCTTCCATCTGTACCTACATACAGACACAGATGAGCAATCACATGGTCGAGGTTGGTCCTAGGTGGTTACCATATGTTTATATATATATATGTATATGTACATATGTGCATATATGTGTGTGTTTGTATATACACATGTCTGTATTGATGTATTTATACACATATACATATATATATATATACACACACATAGCGCGTAAACAAACGCGTACATATATATATATATATACATATATATATATATTTACATATATTTATATTTATATTTATATTTGTTTTTATTTATTTATATTTATTTATTTGTTCATTTTTATATCTATATGCATATATATATATATACACACCAGCTCTCAAGAGGGTGACTCCAAGCTTTTGGCTCGCTGGGTCGCTGGGGAACTGGCGAGCACGGCCGTACCCAGGCAGCAGAAGCTTCTGGTTGCTGTCGTTGGTCCCGGATGTACCTCGTCAGCGTTTAGGGGTTTAGTGCAGTTTAGGGTTCAGGGTTTATGGTTTAGGTCTTTAGAGATTTACAGCATCACGCAACAGGCTGCCAGCGAATCTTGCGGAATTGGGTTAAAGCCAAGACTTGACTCCCGGAGTCGCTCTTTTTCAAGGGTCCTAGGCTCCTAGGTCCTAGCAGGTCACAAGGTCGAGAGCCGACGTAGCGACATCCGGACGAGCGTGGCCTGAAGTCGCACGTGCTCAGAAGCAACACAGCGACCACAGGGACGGTGTCGAGGCTCAGGCTTCGGATCAGCAGCGAGCTGCCGATATGAACAGGGTCCAATGGCAGCGCCGTAAGTCCTGATTGAAGGGATTGGGACGCCCTGTATGATCGCCTTGCACTTGCAACCCTATGCAGGCTGTCCTGGTTGTGCAAAGCTGCGGATCGGTGTTGCGGGGTCCGGGTGGGCGTGGTCAGGAGTGGGCAGTGAAGTGTCTGCACATGCAAATGATTGCAGGAGCAGCAAAGATTCTGGAGACAATAGATCGGGCACCGGCGGACTCGATCCAATTCAAGCGAGGCTGTGGGTGGATGTCATGAAGCCCAGGTGAGTGTAGTCTGACACGGGAGGTGATGCCCCGGCTTTCGCGAATCCGAAGGCCGAAGAAGCCACGTCGGCCCTAGCATGGCTCCTGGGAGGCATGAAAGGACCGAGGTGCAGAAGATCTGAAGCAAAAGCTACTACTTCCAGCTGAGCGGAACTTCGAGTGGAAGGTGAAGGGCCGACTTGTGCAAAATCCAGAGTCAGCGAGGGTAGCCCAACACGGGCGATGCCTGAAGCGAGAAATGCAGAGCCAGAACGAGCAAAGCTGCGGAGTGACAACGATGGCCCCAGCTCAAGAAAGTCCAGGATCAGCATTGCGAAACCACATCGGACATGCGACCGCACAGATGATGTGGGGTCCGAATGCGCAAGATCCGTCGCGGGCGATGGCAAGTCTGGCTGGGAAAGGCTGCGCGTTGGCAAAAGGGTCCCTGAGTGCAGGAAGTCAGGAACAAGCACCCCCAATCCCAGCTAAGTAAAGCTTCGAAGGGACAGCAGGAGGTCAAGCCGCAGAAAGTCAAGAACAGGCGCAGCGAGCCCGGGCCGTGCAAGACTTCGAAGAAAAGCCGTCGAGCCGAGAAGCGCGAAGTCTGGCAGCGGCAGCAGCGGCTCCACACGCACGCAGGAGGAGGCTGGCAAAGCCGTGTCAAGGCATCCAGGGCTGCGCGGTGGCATGGAAGGATCTGTCTCGCAGCAGTCCAAGGTTGAAGTGGAGGCGCCGAGGCGAGCAGATTGGAAGAGAAAAGAGGACGGACCGATTCGAACGAGGCTGCGCAGCAGCATGACGCTTCCGGGATGCAGGAAGTCGGGAGCAGAGGGCGCAGGGCCCGGGCGTGCGGGGCTGCGTGTGGAGGATGCGAGGCCGAGCTGCACATAGTCCGAGACCGGAAGGGAGAAGTCAAGTCAAGCAGTGCCACACACGGACGTGGAAGCACCCGACTGTCCCAAGCTGTGCAGAAGCGGAGAAAGCCCTGACCTCCCGTGATCTAAGGCTGACGTCAACACTCCAAGCTGCAAGGAGCTCCGGAGAAGTGGCACGAAGTCCAAACAGACGAAGTCTGAGATCAACAGAAAGCTGCCAAACCAAGCGACTCCAAGAAGCAACACCACACTTCCCGACTTTCCGCAGCTGTGCAGAAGGGGAGAAAAGCCAGGATGCAAGGAGTCCAAGGCAAGCGGCGCAGGACCCGCACGGCAAAAGCTGCGCAGCGGTAAGGCCAGCTCCATAAGGGCAGAATCCAAGGCGGAGAGAGTCGACTCTGGCTGTACCTTACCGAATGTCAGCATCGCACTCCCAAGGCATCCAGGGCTGCGAGGAGACAGGCTTGGGCCAAGGTGCAAGAAGTCCGATGCAGACAGCACCAAGCCCGGTCATGCGAGGGATCTCGCAGGCATCGAAGAGCCTACGTGCTCGTGGTCCGAGACCAACGAGGAAGAGCTCAGGTGAGCGAAGGAATGGAAAGGAAGGAAGGAGCCCAAGTGCAGGAAGTCCGGGGCCGGGATGGCAGATTCGATTTAACCATAACTTTGCAAAAAAGCGAAGAAGCCCAAATGCAAAAAATCCGAGACGAACACGGTTGAGCCGAGCCATGCAGAGCTGCGTGGCAACACCGCCGAGCCCAGGAGGGCGTAGTCTGACAAAAGAGGCAGAAAGCCTGTGCGGAACATGCCGGAAGCTGGTGAGGCCAGGCCGCCACATGCGGAGCTTTGCAGCAAAGGCAATGCGTCAAAGTGTGTGAAGTCCAAGACAGAGAGGCTCGAATCAAAGCGAAGGCGCGAGAAAACCGAGACAGCTGATCCAACCCTGATGTGGCTCCGGAGGAACAGCGGTGAGCCCAAGTGCAGGGAGTCCGGAGCCAAAGGAGCCAGACCTGTTTGAGCATGGCTTCGAGGTGATGCCGACAACCCAAGCAGGCTGAGATCTAGAAGCAACAAAGGAAGGCCGAAGCAGCTACAGCCGGAGACAGGCAGCAGCAGGTCCATGCGAGCAAGGTGATGTGAGAGCATCATGGAGCCCAGATGCAAGGTGTCCAGAGCTGGCACCGAAGCCTCGGGGCGTGAAGGGGATCGCAGTGGGACGGAAGAGCCCAGGAAAGCATGGTCCAGCACGGGCGGCGATGCTTCCACACATCCGATGCCAGAGGCCAGCATGACCAAACCTAGTCTGGCAGAAGAACGAAGAGGAGGCAGCGGCCCCGAATGCAAGGAGTCCAAAGCGAGCAGACTGAAACCCAAGCGAGACGTGCTGCGTGAAGATGAGCTCGCTTCCAAGTCCGCGGAGTCCAGTGCCGGCAGGGAAGACCCTGGGCATCCGATGCCCATTGCCGACGACGTGAATCCAAGCCGAGCCAGGCTTCGAAGTAAGGGCGGAAAACCCGGCTCCAAAGAGTCTGGAACTGAAGGAGCCAAGCCCGATTGTCCGCGTGATCTCGGAGATATGGGCAAGCCCAGGAACGCGTGTTCCAGCACCAAGAAGGACGCGCCACAGCATGCAAGCCCGAAGGCCGAGGAACATGACCCGAACCGGGCAACGCTCCGCGGCAACATCAAGGATCCAGAGCTTGAAAGGCTTTGGGCCGATAGTGACAGCCCGGGGTGAAGGAGGTCAAGAGTTGGAACCGCGGACCCGGTCCTTGCGAAGCTTTGCGTCGGCAGGGGAGGCTCGGGATGAGCAAGGTCCGGTGCTGAGGGCGGGAAAGCCAGCCGAGCGATTCCAAGGGCAGAAGAAGCCAATCCTGTCCGTGAGAAGCTGTGCAGAGGCAGGGCGCTGTCTACAAGCATGTGGTCCAGAGGTGGCATCAAAGCATCGCAGCAAGTCAGCCCGAAGACGAACAAAGGCGCATCCACACGGCCGAGGCTCCTTGGTGGCAGCATGGATCCTGGCTGCAGAAAATCAAGTGTTGGAGGCGCTGGGCCAACGCGTGCGGGACGCCGCAGGGGTGGCGGGCTGCCGCATGCGACAGAGTCCAAAATGAACATCGATGCCTCGAAGCGCGCGATGCCAGACGTGAACGACAGGAGCTCTGCTCAACCAGAGCTTTGCAGCAAAGGTGGGGACTCGGGACGCAGAGAGTCTAGCACTGGAACAGGGAGTCCCGATTGCCCGAGGCTTTGTACCAGAATCGGAGGGCCTGGCAGGACATGGTCCAAAGCTGGAGCTGAAGCTTCGAGGTTCGCCACGCCCAGCAGTGAAGATGCCGAGCCGAAGTGGGCAAAGCTGTGCAGAGACGAGGCGAAACCGAAGCTGGCAAGGCATCGAGCGGGCAGAGCCAAACCAAGGTCAGAAGGATCTGGCACTGGAAGAAAGGGGCCGAACCAGACTTGGCCGAAGGGAAACAAAGGGAAACCCACTCGCGCAGAGGCTCGGAGCAGTATGGTAAAACCTGATTGCAAAGAGTCCAAGACCAAGGGGGTTAGCTCCGTTTGTGAAGAGCTTCGTGGAGGTGATGTTGAGCCGGGGAGGGCGTGGTCGGGCACTGGAGGCGTCAAGCCCATCTTGCTCATCCCAAAGATCGGCGCGGCACTTTCAAGTCGACCCATGGATCGCAACAACAGCGGAAGCTCTAGGTGCATGAGATCAGGAGTCAGCAAAGGAAAGCCAGGGCATGCACAGCTTCGGACAGGCATCAGAGAGCCCAAGAAGGTGTGGTCGAGGATCGGGAAGGACGAGCCACAGCGAGACACCCCAAAAGCAGGAAAGGGGAAGCCGGACCTTGCAGGGTTCCTCGCTAAGGTGGCAAAACCCAAGTGCAGGAAGTCCAAGACAGGCATGACCAAGTCCAGACATCCCAAACTTTGGGCCGACAAAGCGGGTCCCAGGAGCACGAGATCCAAAACGAACGACGGAAGGCCCGCGCAAGAAAGCCCACACGAAAAAAATGCGCTGCCAGAGCATGCAAACATCCGCAGTAACGTCAGCAGGCCAGAACTTGAGAGACTTTGCACCAGAAGCATTGACCCAGGGTGCAAGAAGTCCAGTACCGGCAAGGCGGCTTCAGGACAGGCCGTGCTTCGAAGCGGCAAAACCGGACCAAGATGTACGAGGTCCAAAACAGACGCTGGCAGACCTGGCGTAGTCACGCCCGTCGCAGGCACAGCAAAGCCGGACCTGAGGTAAGAGCGCACGAAAGGAGAGCTTTCCGATCGCAAGAAGTCCAAGACCAACAAAGTAAATCCAAGCCTGCAAAAGCTGCGAAGAAAAAGCAGAAAGTCTGGCTGCATGGAATCCAGCACCAAAAGAATAAGGCCAGAACGACCCACGCCGAAAACCAGCATTGCACTTTCCAGCTGCGCCATGCTGCGTGCCGAAGGCGTGGCATCCGGGCGCAAGAAGTCCAAGACCGGTACAAAGGCCTCCGATCGTGCAAAGCTTCTGATTGCCGGCGTGGGGCCCGTCTGCACGAGGTCGGTTGCAGGCAGAAGAAATCCCAGATATGTGAAGCTGCGCAATGGCGGCACGGGGCCTGATGAAACAACGTCCGATGCGGGCAACGAGGCTTCAAGCCGCACCAACCCTGAAGCCAGCGCCATACTTCCGAATCGGCTGAAGCTGCGCAGGGAGGGTGACAAGCCCAGCCTCAGGAAATCCATCGCTGGCATTGCCAGGCCAACCTTTGCGAGTGATCGAACAAGCAACGCCAGATCTAGTTGAAGGAAGTCCGTTGTCGACGCGGAAGGTCCCGATCTGGCGTAGCTTCGCACAGGTAACACTGGACCCAAACAGGCATGATCCGGAGCTAAAGGCGGCGAGCCGAAGCGCGCAGCTTGCGAAACCGGCGGCCCTGGGCCAAAGCGGGTGTAACTCCGTGCCGAGGTCGAAGAGCCCAAGTGCAAAGAGTCCGAAGCAAGCGCCACAGAGTCTGTTCGGGAGTAACTTCTCGACGGCGCCGGCAGGCCCAGGAGAGACCGATCCGAGGTTAGCAGCGGGGCTTCCGGATTGATCTTGCCGAACGAAGAGGCCGCGAAGCCCGTTCAGGTGTGGCTGCGCGAAGGCATGAGGGAGCCCGATCTCAAGAAGTCAGTGGCTGGCAGAGGAGGCCCCGATCAAGCGCAGCTTCGCACCGGAGCCGGAAAGCCAAGGTTGGTAAAGTCCGAGAGCAACGGGAGGAAGCCGAGCCTGGCGCGACCTGCGACGGGAAACGTCGGTCCCAGGCGCGCGAAGCTGCGTACGGGCGTGGAGGACGCTACTGCGGCATGGTCCGATGAGGACGGGGCAGCTTCCATTTGCGAAGGACTCCGCAGCAAAATCAAAGAGTCGGGATGCATGAGATCCGAAACTGATGCCAGGAAGCCTAAGCGACCGAAGCTTCGAGCCGACAAGTTTGGCCCGAGGACCAGAAAATCAAGGGCAGGCAACACGGATCCCATGCAAGCAGAGGATTGCACAAGCGGCATCGACCCCAGACATAGAAGATCGAGAGCTGGAACACTAGCTTCCAAGCGTGCGATGCTCTTCGACGGCATCAATGGGCCCATCTGTATGTAGTCCATGGGCAGCGGAGCCAGTCCAATGTGGGAAAGAGATCGCGCAGACAACGTCGGACCAAGGTGCACAGCATCCGAGGCCGACATAACGGAAGCCAAGCAAGTCATTCCGATGGCCGGTGAGGCAAAGCTTACGCATGCAAAGGATCGCGGCAGTGGGGTTGGGCCCGAGCGCAGGTGGTCCAACACGAGGAGCGGGCTGTCCATCCTGACAAAGCTTCTCACAAGCACTGGCACGTCCAGATGAGCGAAGTCCAGAGCTGTCAAAGGGCTCCCCAGCACGCAACGCCTCAAAACAGACATAGCAAAACCCAGCCTACCGTGGCTTCTCGACGGCGTGATCAAGCCCAAGTATAAGGAGTCCGGTGCCGAAGCTGCCAAGCCTGGCCTAGACGAACTTCGCAAGGATATCGGAAAGCCCAGGACTACCATGTCCAGGGCCGACGACAGAGAGCCCAAGCGCGAGATGCCCGGCGCAGGTGAAAGAAAGCCGAGTCTTGCCATGTTCCGAGGAATCAGCAAGAAGCCCGAGTGTAAGGAGTCCGGAACCAAGGCGGCAGGGCCCATCCACGCGCAAGCTTGCAGCGAAGTCAACGAGCCCGGGTGCAGAAGGTCGAGAACCAACATCACCGGCCCGGCCCAAGCGAGACTTTGCAATGGCACCAAAGACCCGAAAGTCACCGTGTCAGTCGCAGGCAGCAAGGACACGAAGCCGGGTCGACTCAGGCCTGAGACTGGAGGGAGCAGATCGGCACACAAAAGGCTTCGCGTCGACGTCAGGAGGCCGGGATGCAGGAAATCAAGCACGGAGGCCGGAAGATCGGTTCAGGTGAAAGACCTGGGTGGCATCATGGATTCGAGACGGAAGTAGCCCAGAGCAGACACCACGGGCTCGGGATGCGCAAGGCTTCTGGGAAAAACTGCAGCGTCCAGATGCACAAAATCCGGCACTAAGAGGCTAAAGCCTAGGCGACAAGACGAGAAGGCCGAGGGTGCAGGGCCAGGGCAAAGGTAGCTTCTGATTGATGTGATCGGCTCTGACCTGGCGAAATCGAGGATCAACAAGGCCACGCCGGGACATGCGGGGCTTTGCGGCGATGGCGCAGGGCCCAAGTCCGCAGAGTCCAGGACCAAGAGGCTGGCTTCCAGCTGGGTGATCCCGCAGATCAAGCAGGCAGGGCCTGGTCTGGCAGGGCTTTGCGTAGGCAAGGAAGAGTCTGATCTCAAGTGGTCTGGAATCAACAAAGCAGGGTCAAAGCGAGCCAGCTGATAGGTCGACACAAAGCTTTCCAGACAGCTGGGGGAACGCAGCGGCATCAAGAATCCCAGATGCAAAAAATCTGGCACCGATGCCTGTGGACCTGCATGCATGGAAGACCTCACCAGCAACGTCGAGCCCAACTGCAAGTGGTCAAGTGTGAGCACAGAGGCATCCGATCAAGCAAGTGATCGCAAAAGCACGCTCGGCCCTGAGTGAGAGGGATCCAGGACGAACAGGGAAAACTCTGAGCGAATTGCACTGGTGACCGTGAAGGATGCGCCTAGTTGGCTGAGGCATCGCAACGGAACAGAAGAGCCAGGCTCAAGAAAGTCCGGTGCCAAAGCAGCGAAGCCGAGTCACGCCGCGCTTCGGAGAAGCAACACCAGACCAAGGCCACAGACGTCCGACACCAGCAGAGTTGACCCGAGCTGCATCCTGCCGAAGACGGACGATGCGAAACCCAAGCGACTGTGACTCTGCGTGAACGATGGCGACCCAGGTTTCAGGGAGTCCGAGACAAGCAACATCAAGCCCGGCCGAGTAAGGCTCCGGGGCGACACGATGGGTTCTAAGTGCACAGGATCCGGGACGAAGAGCGTTGGCTCGGAGCGCACGCTGCTCGTCGCCAGTAGAGTGACTCCCGCTTGCAGCCGGGACCTCGAAGATGGCGGCGACCCCAAATGCAGGGAATCGAGCACGGGCATGGTGAAGCCAAAGCGAGCCATGCTTCGCAGCAGCGGAGACAACTCCAAGGTCGTGAAATCCGGCGCCGAAAGGGCTGGGCCGAGGCGCAGCTCTCCGAAGGCCGAAGATGTCGGCTCAATGCGGCAAACGGATCGCGGAGACGAGAACGAGCCGAGATGCAAAGAGTCCGAAGTCGGCATCACAACTTCAACGCGACCGAGACTTCGAGCGAAAATTGATAGTTCGAGTTGTACACACTCAGTAGCCGATGGCGAGGATACAAAGCCTGACCGGGTCAAACCCGGCACAAGCACCGTGAAGCCCAGGTGGCTGAAGCTCCTTGGCAGCGGTGGCGGACCGAGTTTCGCGAAATCCGGAGCCGGCAGAAAGAACTCAGGTCGTGAAGGGCTTCTGAGCGGCGGCAAGGGTCCTGAGTCCAAAGAATCCGGAGCCAGCAGCAACGGGCCACAGGTTGCGCGACTGAAGGCGAGCGTCGGCAAGCCCACGCGACTAGAGGACCGTGACAACATCGGCAAGCCGGGACGCAAGAAGTCAAGCACCGGAAGCACGGAGCCCATGCGGACGGGGCTTCGTGCGAGCGGAGAAAAGCCAGAACGCCCGAGGCTAAGTGCCGGAACCGGAGACCCCAGATGTGCAAAGCTGCGCAGTGATGACACGAAGCCCAACTCTGTAAGGTCAGGGATCAGCGCTGACAATCCGAACGTAGCAAATTTCAGGGCTGACAAAGGAGCACCGGGACAGCTCATGCCTTGCAAAAGCGGAGGTGGCTCGAGATGCAGAAAGTCCAGGGCTGGCAGGTTGAATTCAAGCCGGACGGCTGATTGCGCAGACAGAGACGCACCCAAGTGCAGGAAGTCTGGCACAGGCAGCAGCAATTCGGGACGGCCCTCCCCCAGAGGAAACACAAAAGCATCCATCCTGGCAGAGCTATGCAGAAGCAGGAAGAGGCCCGGCTTCAAAGAATCCAGCACCGGGAGGTTCAGGTCAGGGCACACGGATGAATGGACAGGCAACGCCGGCTCCAGCTGTAAGAAGTCTGAGGCGGGTAGCGGGCTCTCCAGTCGCACTTCTCCAAATACTGGAGACAACAGGCCCGGCCGGGACATGGATCGCAGCAACAGAAAAAGCCCCGATCGAATGTAGTCTACTGTCGAAAAGGTCGGGTCAGGACATGCAAGACTTCTCAAAGAGAAGGCCAAGTCAAAACCGACACGATCCAAAACCGACAAAGACGCCTCAGGTCGACTAACTCCAAAGACGAACGCCAAGCTTCCGAACCTGGCCAAGGAGCGCAGCAAAAGCGAGGGGCCGAGGCGAGAGAAGTCCGGCGCCAGCACCGCAGAGCCCAAACGAGCAGAGCCTCGGACCAGAAGCGAGACGCCTGATTCGACAAGGTCCGAAATAGGCAGGATGGAACCGAGCCTGCAATTGCTCATGGCCGAAACGAAGAACTCGAGGCGGGAGTGAGCGCGAGGCAACATCAGCAGGCCCGTGCGGGCGAGATCCATTGTGAGAAGCGCGACTTCGAGTCGTGAAGAGCTCTTGGCAGGCGGCATAAATTCGGAATGTGCAAACTCTATCACAGGCAGGGAGAATACGAAGCCCATTCGGGTCAATCCAGGAGCGAGCAGCATGGGCCCAAGTCTTGCATGCGAACGAAGGAGCAGCAGAGGTCCAGGCTGAGCAACATCCGAGACCGGCAGTGAGATGCCAGGCCATGCCAGGCTTCGCACGAAAAGTGGGCTCCCCGAATGAACGGAGTCTGAAGCGGACGATGTCGAGCCCATCCTCGTGCTGGAAAGAGCAGCCATGGAAGGGTCCAAGCGGACAGAGCTTTGGGGCAAAGGAGCTGGACCCAGGTGGAGAAAGTCCAGCACTGGCAGAACGGAATCACAGCAGGCCATACTTTGCAGCAACGGGAAAGCTCCGAGTTGCAAGGAGTCCAGCACAAGGATTGGAGAGTCGGCACAGGCAATGCTTCGAGGGGGCAGCAAGCTTCCCGAACGCACATGGCTGGGCACAGGCGGGATGGGCCCAAGATGCACAAGGCTTCGCACGAAAAGCGTCAGGCCAAACTCGACAGCATCAGTGACAGGCAGGGGGGACACGAAGCCTAGACGACTCAGCCCCAGAGCAGGCGCTGAGACTTCGAGCCTTGCGAAACTTTGCGAGGGCGGGGGTGCGCCGGGTCTCGCGTGGTCCGATACCGACAAAGGCACTTCCGTCCTCGAAAGGCTACGTAGGAGAAGCAAGGCATCTAGCTGGACAGAGTCTGACACTAGAAGCATGAAGCCCGAGCACACTTCCCCCAACGACAACATCGAAGGCCCCGCATGCACAAGGCTTTGAAGGAACATGAAGCTGCCCAAGCGCAAGGAGTCCGAGGCTGGAAGGGAAGCACCCGACCGAGAAAAGCTGCGAGGCGAGAGTGACACATCCATGCTCGCAAAGCTCAAGGCAGGCGCGCAAGGCTCAAGACACGAGTAGCTTCTCATGAAGGGCGGCAGTCCTGGCTGCACGAAGTCAGGGGCAGAGAAGGGCAACTCGAGGCAAGCCTTTCCGCACGAAAGCAGTGTTGAGCCCAGACGAAGCGTGGACCTCAGAGGGGGCAAGGAGCCCATGTTCGCCAAGTCCAGCACCGGTGCCGAAAGCTCGGAACAGCTCAGACCCCACACAGGAAGGCTAGAGCCGAAGTGCGAGTAGCCCCGAGGCAGCAGATTGAAGCCCAGGCGCAGGAAGTCCAAGACCAACGGAGCCAGCTCCACTCAAGCAAAGCTTTGCAGGAGAAGCAGGGAGCCCAAGTGCGCCCAGTCCAACACTGAAAGCAAAAAGCCCAGCTGCACCAGACCTGTCACTGACAGAATGGAGCCAAGGCACGAACGAGATCTCAAGGGCGGCGTCAGGCCCGGGTGCAAGAGATCCAAGACTGACGCAGCCGAGCCCGGTCGGCTGAAAGATTGCGTTGACACCGTGGGGCCCAAGTACAGGAAGTCCAAGGCCAACACGGCCGCATCTGATCGAGAAAGGGATCTCAGGGACATAGCCGGGCCCAGGTGCAGAAGATCTGAGGCTGATGGCGTGAACCCAAACCGTGTCCGACTGTAGGCGGATGAGGAAGATCCCGAGCAGGCGAGTCGTCGGGGCAGCATGAAGGAGCCCAAGCGCAAAGAATCCAGCGCCGGCGGCAGACTGCCCGAGGTGGTCATGCCATAGGCCGACAACGCAGGCTCGGGTCGAGCGAGGGAGCGTAGTGAGCACGAGAAACCCGTGTGGACGAAATCCAAGGCAGACAAGAAAAGTCCTGGCTCAGCAATGCCATAAATCAGCAAAGGCAAGTCCAAGCGCATGAAGCTTCGAAGTGGAGGCATCAGTCCCGACTCCACGAAGTCAGAAGTCAGCAGAGGGGAGCCGGAAGTGGACCGGCTGAAGGCCAAGAAGCTCGATCCCAAGCAACTGTAGGACTGCAAGGGTGGCGTGAAGTCCAGGTGAAGAGGGTCCAGGACCGATGAGGAGAAGTCGAGCAGCGTCAGCCCGTAGACAAACAAAAGCGAACCCAACTGGGAAAAGGTCTGCAGTAAGGCCGGAAGGCCCGTGTGCACGAGGTCTAGCACGGGCGGCAAGGGGTCAAGAAAAGTTAAACCGTAGACGGAAGCTGACAACTCTGGTCGAGCAAAGCTCCGAGGGGAAGGCACAGGGTCGGACTGAGCGGGATCAAGAGTTGACAGGGACGGGCCAGGCATCACACGGCTGAAAGCTGGCATGCTCAGACCCAAACGGGCGAAGCTTTGCAAGAACATCAACAGCTCGAGCTCTATGAAGTCCGAGACAGATGCGGGACTTCCAAGGCGAGCCAGTGACCGCAGAAGCAGAGCTGGGCCACACACCACAAGGTCCGCGGCAAAAGGTGGGAATCCAAACCGAACCGCATCAGAGACAGGCAAAAAGGATCCGCTGCAGGCAGTTGACCTGGCAAACAGAAACGGAGCTGAATGCAGGAAGTCTAAGGCTGGCAGAGACGATCCACAACGAACACAGTCAGAAGCGAGGGGCAACAATCCAGGTTGGACCATACTTCTCAAGGACATGCTTGGTCCCGGTCTTGCATAGTTGCAGGCCGGCAGCGAGGATTCGAGGCAGGCTGGGCTTTGCGGAAACAGGTTCAGACCAGAGCACACAAAGTCCAAGGCCAGCAGGGTGAGCTCCGAGCAGGATCTCCCAAACGCAAGCATCGCAAGCTCCATCCGGGTCGCGGCCCGCGTTGACGCCGGCAACTCGAGCTCTGCAAGGTCCGAGGTCAGCAGCATTGGGCCGAGGCGTGCGAGGGAGCGCACGGAGAGTGAAGAGCCAAAGACAGCCAAGTCAAGCACTGGTAAGGAGAAGCCCAAACAGCAGAAACTGTGGAGGAACAGTGATGAGCCAGGGTGCAAACAATCCAAGATGGAAGCTGAAGCTTCAGAACGCGAGCAGCTCATCGCCGATGGGAAGGACCCACAGCAAGCAGCGTTTTGAGGGAGCATCGGGGATTCTAGTCCCAGATGATCCGGCACGAACGTTGGAGAGCCGGATTGGCTTTTTCCAGAGGCCAAGAGCGAGAGCGCCGCGTGCGCGGGGGATTGCGGCAGAAGCGGGGAGCCCAACCTCAAGGAGTCCGACGCAGACGCCGATGAGCCGGACCTGCCAAGGCCGGACGAAGGCGGCGTGAGCCCCAAACGAGCGCGGGACCGCAAGGACGAGGAAAGGCCGAGACGGGCGAAGTCCGAGGCCAAGGGATTCAAGCCCAAGCAAGAAGAGCTCCTCAAGAAGAGGGAGGCCTCCGATACCACAAAATCCGGCACAAGAGGCAACAGCTCAGGCCTTGCGGTGCTCAAGGCCAAGAAGGGAAGGCCTGGTTGTGCAAAGGAGCGGGCCGGAGGCGCCGAGCCCGAAAATGCATGGTCCACGATAAGCGTGGTGAAACCCAGGTGTACTCTTCCCAAGAGAGGCAAGGTGAGGCCCGAACGCGCCGAACTCCGAATCAGTGCAAAAGCTCCGGACTCTACAAAGTCCAAGGCCGGCAGAGAGCTGTCAAAACGAGCCCTGTTCACTGCAGGGAAGGACGGCCCAGGATGAGCCATTGATCTTGCAAACAACATCAGATCTGAGTGCAGAAAGTCCAGCGCTGAAGGCGACACACCAAACTGGCCCAAGCCAGAAGCGGGTAGTGCCACTCCCACTCAAGCATGCCTGCGCACTGGCGAAAGGGAGCCTGACCGGGCAAAGTCAGGCACTGGCATCAGGAGTTCGGGATGAGAGAAGCCGTGGAGCGGGGATGTTGATCCGGGGATGAACCGGTCCAGAGCCAACAGCGAGAAGTCAACCCGGACCCTTGACGAGGCCAGCATAAAGGATCCGTACTGAGCCATGCTGCGGAAGAGCAAGGGCAGGCCTAGATGAAGGAAGTCCAGCACCAGCAGTGCGAGCTCCATTTACGAAAGGCTATGTGGAAGCAACGACGGCTCCGTCTGCACAGAGTCCGAGACGAACAACGAGAAGTCCGGCCGACTGACTCCCGACGAAGCCGCGGGCGACTCCGATCGAGCAAGCTGGCGCGCCGATAAAAACACACCAACGCTTATAGGGTCTGGTGCCAGCAACGATGCGCCCAGGCGAGCCAGTCCCAAAACCAAGGAGGAAGAATCTGATCGAACCAACTCTCGGACCGGAAGGAACGACTCGGTCAGCACGTCATCCGATATTGGCATGGTCAACTCTATTTTCAGCACTCCGACAGCAAAGGATGCAAAATCTGAGCGCGCTGGGCTTTGAACCAGCAGGGAGGTGCCTGGGTTCCCAAAGTCAAGCACGGAAGAGCTGAAGCCCATCCAAGCCATCCTGCATGCTGATGCAAAGGACCCGAGCCACACCATCTGTCGAACGAACATGGAAGGTCCCATGTTTACAGAGTCCGGTGAAGAGGGCGTTAATCCAGGCCTGGCCAAGCCAATGGCGGGCATTGTGAGCTCGAGGCGGGAATGACTTCGCAAAAGCGGCAGTGGCTCTGTCTCTGCAAGATCCAGAATCAGCATCGCCAGTCCCAGGCAGGCAGGCCCTCTTGGTGGAGGCGGGAAGCCAAGAACGGCGAAATCCAGCACGAGAGGGGGCGCGTCTGACCGAGATACACTTGGCACCAGCAACACGAGATCTGAATGAGCAAGGGTCTGGAGAGGAGGCGACAATCCTAAGTGACTAAGGCTAGGCACAAAGGCGGCTGCCTCCGGACAGGAAAAACTGTGAACCGACACAGGTGCGTCAAATACTGCAGGATCCGGTAGCAACGATGGGACTTCGAGTCGCGATTCACTGGAAGGAAGCATCAGAAGGTCCGGTCTCGTATGACTACGAGGTGGCACAAGCGATCCAGACTCAGAAAAGTCCAGATAAGACAAGGGAAATCCAGGCTGCACAAGGCTGTGCAAGGACGGTGAGAAGTCGAGATGCAAGAAATCCAAAGCAAGCAGGAAAAGTCCAACTTGTACCTTGCCAGCAGCGGACGTCATTGGACCTTACAAGGATCGCGAACACACTGCTATGCAAAATTCAGAAAACGAACGGCCCTGGGCATCATCATGATATGCTGCATGTCTACATTACGTAGTAAATGATCGATGCATGTATGGAAGCATGTCAGCAAGAACACAAGCAAGCGAGCGAGCGAGCGAGTGAGCAAGCGAGCAAGCGAGCAATCCAGCCAGCGAGCAAAGTAAGCAAGTAAATCAAGCACGTGTGCATTTATGTCTGTCTGTCGGTTTGTCTGTTCACCTGTACGTAGGTAGGGCAGGCAGGCAGGCAGGCAGGAAGGCAGACCACTGCATTTTCAAATAGCCAGAGCTTAGCAGGCTCGGTAGGCAAAGTTCAAAGAAGTGAATGGTGGGACTAAGCCGACTAAGCTGCTGCCAAGGTGCCGAAGTGGGCATGCGACCTCGAAGGCAGAGACGGCCCCAGATCAAGAGGGTCAGGCACCAACAGAGCAAGACCCAGGTGAGCGCGGCTTCGTAGTAAGAGGGGCAAGTCCAGCTGAACAAGATCAAGTGCGGACACGAATGAGTCCAGCCTTCCAATTCCAAGGACCGAGGGTGTTGACCCCGTTCGCATGAGTGATTGAAGCGATGCTGGCGAGCCCGGCTCAGTAAAGTCAAGAGTTGACAGGCTGAAGCCTGGCTTTGCGAAGCTGCGGATCGGCAAGGCAGAGTCCAACTCCACGAAATCTGAAGTCAGCGCTGTCGGCTCCGACCATGACATGCTGCATGCCGGCAAGACTGGTCCCAGGCAGCCGGAGCTTCGTGAGAAGGGTGATGAGCCCGCTCGCGCGGAGTCCGAGGCCGACACACAAGGCTCCGATCATGCAAGGCTGTGAAGAAGCAGCGGGGAGCCCAGCAAGGCGTGGTCCAGCAAAGGCAGGCTCGGACCAAGGCGAGTCGTTGAGAGAGCGGGCAAAGATGGCTCCAGGCAAGCAACTGCCCTTGCGAGCATCGGAAAGCCTGGCCCGACGAAATCGGGCACCAAGGTCGCTAGCTCCGAGTGCGAGAAAGTTCGCAAAAACAAAGAGCTGCCCGAGGTCAGAAGGTCCGGGACCGGCGGTGACAGGCCAAATCGGACACGGTTGACAGCCGAGACGGCAAGACCGATGTGTGCGAGGCTTCTCGTAGGCAGCAGAAAGTCTAAATGGAGGAAGTCAGACGCCGGGAGGGAAGAGCCAAACCTGGCCGTAGTTATCGGGAGCAGGACAAGACCGAGGCGAGCGAAAGATTGCGATGCCAGGACAGCTCCTGGAGTTGCACAGTCCGGTGTCACCGACAAGAAGCCCAGTCGTGTGGCCCTGGAGACTGACGGAGCAAGCCCGAACCGAGTATGTCCTTGGGAAGATACAACCAGTTCAAGATGCAAGAAATCCAAAATGAACATGAATAAGCCAGAACGGGCCTTGCCAAACACCGGAAGCATGAAGCCAAGGCAGCCCATGCTCCGGATCAGCAAGGTGAGGTCAAACCTGGCAAAGTCCGACGCAGAAGCCGTAAAGCCTGGCCAGGAGAGGGACTGCAGCGAAGGCGAGCTACCCGGAACAACAGAATCCGTGACGAGCAGGGGGAAGCCAGACTGGACCCTGGACAAAGCAAGCAGGAAGGGTCCCATCCTGCCCATGGACTGCAACGAGGCGGAGAAGCCCAGCTGCAGGAAGTCAAAGGCCGAAGCAAGGAGACCGGATCTTGCACGACCCCACGTCAGCGCAGCAGAACCTGGGCGACCGCAGCTCCTTGACAATACCGTGAGGTCCGTGTGCAAGAAGTCCGAAGCCGAGGTCGGGGATCCCAAAGCAACCCGGCTGAAGGCCGACAGCAAGGGACCCAGCTGGCTAGAGGTTCTGGCCAGCAAAGGCGAACCGGTTGCAAGCAAGTCCAAAGCGGACAGCGCGAATTCACATCGCGCAGAGGATCGCGAAAACGGCGCCGACCCGAGATGTGCGAAGTCCGAAACTGAGGGCGAGACGCCAAAGTGTGTCCGACCGATAACCGGCAAGGTGCTGCCGAGCTTAGCAAAGGCCTGAACGGCCGAGTTGGAGCCCGTCCGTGCCCAGCCGGAAGCTGAGAACGTTGGCCCAAGCCTTGCAGCGGCCCTCACCAGGAGTGTAGGCCCTGGAGCGGTCGTGTCAGAGGCAGTCAAGATCGGCTCCAAGCGCGACATGGAGAAGGCTGCAAAGGCCGTGCCCGGCCGAGCCATGCTTCTCGGAAGCAGCGGAGACCCCGACTTTGCGCGATCCGACGCCAAGGGCAAAAGGCCGAGCCGGGCCATGCTGTGCAGGAAAAGTGCTGGGCCCAGGTTTACAGGATCTGGCACCGGCAAGAAGAGCTCGAGTCTCGCTGCAGAAGAGGCCGACAATGAGGATTCAAGCAATCCAAAAGAGCGCACCAAGGGAGAGAAGTCGACCTGAGCAGAATCGGAGATCAAAGCCATAGGCTCAGGACACGCCTGCCCAAACAAGAAGACGGAGACCTCCAGCTGAGCGAGGCTTCTCGCAGGCAGAAAGAGGCCCAGTGAAGCGGCGTCCGGCACCGACGGCGAAGAGTCCATACAGACGATTCCAGACATTGCCACGGCCGGGCCTGACTCTGCAAGGCTTCTTAGCAACGATGTCAAGCCGGAGACAGCGCGGTCTAGGGCAAACAAAGGCAAACCAGATCATGCCGTCCCAAAGACAGGCAGATTTGGGTCAGGCCTGCCGGACGAACGAAGTGACAGGAGAGAACCGGGGTGCAAAGAATCGAAGGCCAGCATGGAGGCCTCTGATCGACTGGCGCTGGATGCAGAGAAGGATGAACCAAAACACGCACGAGACCTGGGCGGCAAAGCAGAGTCTGGATGCCCAAGGTCCATTACCGACAGGAAGCTGCTAGAGCGTGACTCGCCAGACACAGAGGCGGCCAGGCCAAAACAAGCATGGCTACGCAAGGGCAACGGCGGCTCCGACTGCATGAAGTCGAGGATTGGCATTGCAAACCCAAGGCGAACGCTTGCGCAGGTCGAAGCCGCGGTGTCGGGACGCGCGACGCTCCGAACCAGTGAGGATGCGTCAGGATTCGTGGAATCCAAAGCCGAAGGGGGAACGTCAGAGCGGGCGGTGCTACAGAGAAGCAGACCGAAGCCCGGAAGCCCGAAGCTGTGGACTGGGAAGGTGGAGCCAGAGTGTGTGGAGTCCAAGATCGACATGAGAAAGCCAGAGGTCACCGAGCGGAAGGCCGGAAATGCAGGCCCAGGCCGCACCATGCTCCTTGCCAATGACCCAAAGCCCGTCTCTGCACAGTCCAAGACGGAAAGGAGAGACCCAGAGCTTGCGAAGCTGAATGCCGGCATCGTACTGCCAGGCTGGGCAGCGCTGCGCAGTGGTGGAGTCGACCCAAAGAAGCTTGTGTCAGAGACGACCGTGAAGAAGCCCGGTCTGGAGAGGCCGAAGACGGGCATCAGCGACCCTGAGGAAGCGTAGCTTTGCGATGGCAAAGTCGATCCGGGGTGAGCGCTGTCAAAGACTGACATGAAGAAACCCGCTCTGCAGAAGCCAGATGTGGAGACTGCCAGCTCCGTTCGCCCGAGGCTTCGAACAAAAAGAGGTGGTCCCGGCTGCAGGAGGTCCGGTGCTGACATGAGAAAGCCAGAAGCAGATACGCCAGCCACCGAGGAAGCGAAGCCCAGACGTGCCACGGCGCGTGCGGAGAGACTGGCGCCCGGATGAGCGAAGTCCAAGGTCGAAGCGGAGGACCCCAAAGAACCGCAGCTGGAAGTCGGCATCGAAAACCCCAGCCTCTGGAAGCCTCGAACCGACGAGACCGAGCCCGGCTCTGCCACATCTGGCACCAGAAGCATCGAGCCCGGACGCGCGAAGGCGAAGGCCAAAGGTCCCGAGCCCATCTGCCCGCGGCCTCGAAGAAATGCAGCAGAGCCGAGTTCTGCAAAGTCCAGTATTGGCAGAAGGGAGCCCAACTTCACCCTGTCGGAAGCAAGAAGCAGGAAGCCCAGATGAGCAGCAGATCGGAGAAACGTGGCAGATTCTGGAAGGGTCGTGTCGGGAGTCAGCGCAGCCGACTCCAAGCGGGCGGTGCCAAACATCGAGACCGGAAGCCCCGTGCGGCCAAGGGAGTGAGGCGAAAGCAGAGATCCAAGATGCAAGAGGTCAGAGGCTGAGGCCAAGGACTCAGAACGGGTGCAGCTGAAGAGGGACAGCGCGAGGCCCGGACGTGCACGTGAGCGCAGAGGCGGTGTGCTGCCTGGCTCCGTAACATCTGGAATCAGAGGCACCGGGCCCAGGGTCATGGCTCCAAACAGGAGGAACGCAGAGCCAAGGCGGGCGGGCGACTGCAAGAAAACTGCCGACTCCAGCTCCGTGCAATCAGAGACAAGGAGCGTCGGCCCTGGCGATGCGGCCTTGAAGACTGGAACTCCCAAGCCAGAGCGACCGAGGCTTTGCAGAGACGTGATCGGCTCTGAACGAAGGGGGTCCAAAACCAGCGGCGAAAGTCCCAACCGACTCCTGCTGAATGCCAGAAGAGCAGAGTCCAGGTATGCCGTGCCCTTCAGAGGCAGCATCAAGCCAAGTTCTGCAGAATCCGGTGTAGGAGGAAATAGGCCAAGCCAAGCGCAGGATCTTGCCAACAGAGGAGAGTCCAACTCAATGTGGTCTGAAGCGAGAAGCAGCGCTTCGAGTCGAGTTGCAGCAGAGACGGAAGGCGCCGCTTCTGGTCGCGTATGGCCCCTCATCGGCGTGACCAATCCGGGGCGGAAAAGGTCAAGCGGAAGCATCGCGAGGCCCGATCTTGCAAAGCTTCGAACCAAGACCGGTGGTCCGGTAGTCACATGGTCTGGAATTGAAGCAAGGGGCCCGAACCTTGCACAACCGGACAAAGACAAGGCCACGCCAGCACGTGCCGCGCTGCGCACTGGAAAGGTGGAGTCAAACTCGGAGACATCCGAGGCGGACAAAATCAGTTCCGCGTTGGATCTGCTAAATGGCGACGTAACCAAACCGAGGCGAGTATGCCCACGTGCTGGTGAGATCGACTCCGGTCGAACAAAGTCAAGGACTAACGTAGTTGGGCCCAGCTGCACAGAGCTTTGTGCAAACATCGACAATCCTAGAGTGCTGAAATCTGACGCAAGCAACACCAAGCCCAAGCAGCTCATACCCGTAGTCAGTACCGCAAAGCCCAAGCATCCTGTGCTTCGGAGCAACGGTGATACATCCAGCTGTGCGGAGTCGAGGATGAGCAGCAGTAGCTCGGAGCGTGCCGCGTCGGAAGCTGGAACAGTCGAGCCACAGCGAGCATGGCCTCTCGAGAAAGGAGAAGGATCTGACCTAACAGACTCGAGGACAGATGGAGAGACTCCCAAGCATACAAAGCTACGGATGGACATAAAAGGGCCTGTCTCAATGCAGTCAAGCACCGATAACAGCGAGCCCGGCCGCGTCTTGCCCGAGGCCGACGAGGCCAAATCGAGGCGAGCATAGGACCGCAGCAACGTTGATGGGCCAAGCTGCAGCAAATCCGAAATTGGCGCGATGAAACCGAAGCGTGCCAGGCTCCGGGGGGACAGAAACGAGCCCAGGCGGAGGAAGTCACAAGTAGAAATCACCAGCCCCAAGCGCGCAGCACTCCACACGGAGGAGCCTGAACCTGATCAGCCCATGCTTTGCGGTGGCATTGGGACGCCCAGACTGGTGGAGTCCAGAATGGACGGGCGCGACTCCATGCTGGTCCTGCTGAAGGTCGAAATCAGGGCATCTGATCTGGCTGCACTCTTCACCAGCAGGGCCGGTCCTGCGTCGACAGGATCCAAAACGAGCAACAGCAAGCCCGTGCGACCGAGGCCAGATAGAGACAAGAAGAGGCCCGCGCAGCCGAAGGATCGCAGCAGCATGGCACTGCCCAGACGCAGGGAATCCGGCACTGAGGTTGGAGGGCCGAGGTGGCTGGGGCTGCGGATCGACGGCACGGGACCCAGGTGAGTGTGGTCAGGAACAAAGGGTGAAAGGCCCATTCGGATCGGGGCAAAGATAGGAAAGGCCGACTCGGTTCGCGCGAGGCTGTGGGGCAAAACTGTCGAACCAGACCTCGCGAGGCGACGGGCAAAAGGAGGCGCACCGAGATGCAAGGAATCCAACACGGGCACTGCGAGGCCCAGGCAACTGAGACTTCGAATGAACATGAAAGGCCCCATCTGCAAGAGGTCCAGGACAGAGGCAGGGAATCCAGCACATGCAGGGCTGTGCAGTGGCAGAGGCGGATCAAGGTCCACGAAATCCGAAGCAAAGAGCGAAGCATCCAGGCTAACCCGGCTGAACACTGAGAAGCCCAGGCCTAGTTGCGCAAAGGACCGCAGCAGCACTGCCGGCTCCGAATGCAAGGGATCCAGCACGGACGCTGAAAGGCCAGCACAAGCGCAGCCGAAGGGGAGCATGGCAAGCCCCAGGCGCACGCGACTCCGCTGCGACGGGAAAAAGCCCAAGGCCGTGGAGTCCGGGGCCGAAGCCGACGATCCGCAGCGCGTGCCGCCAAAGGCCAAAAAGGCCAGCTCTGACCGGGCAAAGCTTCGGGCCAGCGACGAGGAGCCTGGGACCAAAAAGTCCAAGACGGACGAGGCCAAACCGAGTCGTGCCGTGCTTCGTGCAAGCATAGGGAGGCCGGTGAGGGCGAGGTCCAAAGGCGGCATCAACGAGGCCACGCGGGTCATGCCAGGTGCTGCTGCCACAAAGCCCATTCAAGCGCGGTCCCTCAAGAACGAAAAGAGGCCCAAATGCAAAAGATCCAAGACAAGCAAAGCAGGCCCTGGCCGGCCAAGAGACTGCAAAAGCAAAGGCAACTCGAGCTGCACGAAATCCAGAGCTAAAAGCAAAAGCCCAGGGCGTGCCACGCCCATAACCGTCGAGGCAAAGTCAGGATGACCAAAGGACCGGGTAGTTGGCGAGGGCTCTGCGCTGAAAGCATCCAGTAAGCTTGACGTCAAGCCGAAGCGCACCGCAGACATGGCCAGCAACGTGGATCCTGGATGCCCCGCAGATCGCAGTGGCAGAAAGGCGCCGGGGTGCAGAAGGTCAAGCACAGGCGGAGGGAAGTCAAAGCGGCCACAGCTTGAGGCTGAAGAAGCGGGACCAAATCTGCAGCAAGACCTCACCAACGTTAGGCTGCCAAAATACGCGAAGTCAAGCACCAAGAGAGGGGAACCCAAGCTTACCCTGCTCATTACCGGCACGGTGAAACCAAACCAACCCACACTGTGCGGTGACGTCGTCGGCTCGGGATTCAGGTAATCAGGCGAAGATGCTAAGAGCCCGGAGCACGCAATGCCAAATGCAGGAGGCGAGCTCTCCATGAGCGCGACGCTTTGCACCAAAGATGTCAGCCCCGGTGAAGTGGAGTCCATAACCAGCACCAGTGTCTCGAAGCGCGTGGCGCCGGAGGTGAATGTTGTTGCGCCTGACCTCACGAGGCTTTGCGAGGAAGGCGCTAAGCCATGGTGGGCGAGATCCGACGCGAACATCAGGGATCCAGAACAAGCTTGCCCAAAAAGGGGTGGAAGGAAGCCCAGGTAAGCAAGCGATCGAAGGAACAGCAGCAACCCCGGCTCGGTGTGGTCAGAGGCCGACATAAGAACCCCCAGGTGCGTGACGCCAAAAGTGGAAGAGACCGAGTCAAGTCTTACGAGGCTTCGCAATGGCGGTGATGGGCCTCCATGAACCAGGTCAGAGGCCGGCAGTGACAATCCAAAGCAGGCCATTCCGGAAGTTAACAAGGCAGCACCCGTTCATCCAGGGCTCCTCGCCGGAGACATCGGCCCGAAATGGCTGAAGTCCAATGGGAACAACAGCGGCTCGGCCTTCACGGCGCTAAAGATGAAAAGGGAAGCTTCTAAGCGGGCGAGGTCGCGCAGGGACACGCTCAAGCCAATGAGCACATAGTCCGGAACGAAGGTTGGTGGGCCAAAGCGCACCACGGAGACCACGGACATCGCAGAGCCTAGCCTTGCGAGATTTCGCAGCGAAGGCAAGGGTCCTGGAGCTACAGGGTCCATTATTAGCAGCGCCGGCTCTAGGCACGCCAAAGATTGCAGCGGTGGCGAGGAACCAGGGGTGGCCATATCCAAAACAGAGAGGCACGACCCGAAGCTGAGACGACCTGAGGCCAGCAAGGCGAAACCAGTTTGTGAGTGGCTGCGGAAAGGCATGGAGGAGTCTGCATGCTCACAATCCGATGTGAACATTGGCGCCTCCGTTCTTGCCATGCCAGACGTCAACATCACGCTGCCACATCGGATATGGTTTCTGGGGGACGTGGGCAGGCCCGATCGCAAGTAGTCGGACAACAGCGCCGGTGATTCGGACCTTGCGCAGCTCCACGCCAACATAAAGGCGCCCGGTTGCCCGAATCCCTGTGGGAGCAGCAGCGGGCCAGGCGACAAGTAGTCAAAAAGTGATATAGGGAGGCCAGATCGAGTCATGCCGGAAGCAAGAGAGGACGAGCCAAGAAGAGCGAAGCTGCGCAAAAACGGTGCCAAGCCACCGCTGATGGAATCCAAGGCCAGCAGACTAGCTCCCAGACACACCATTCCGTAAAGTGACGAGGACAGGTCCATGTGTGCAAAACCTCGCACAGACAGGATCGAATCGAAGAGCGAAAAGTCAGAGGCTGAGGACGAAGAGTCGCAGCAGCCTAAGCCAAACACGGAAAGCAGGGAACCTGGACACCCGAAGCTATGCAAAAGCAGCGCAAGCTCCATCTCAGCGACATCCAAGACCAAAACAAACAAGCCGAGACAACCGATGCTGCAGGCCGGCAACATTGGCCCTGGTCGTCCCGTGCTGTGAAGCGACAGGGGAAGCTCCATGTGTGCACGGTCGGATGCCAAAGCCGAGAAATCGTAGCACGCCAGTCCGAACACCGATGAGACGAAGCCAAGTCGGCCAACACTCCTCACCGGCATCGTGCTTCCAAAGTGACTGAAGTCGGGCACAGGAACTGGAGAGTCAAATCGAGACAAACCGAACGCAAACAGAACGAAATCAAGCCTGGCAAGAGCCTTCGCCGCCAGCAGGATGCCTACATGCATGCTATCTAGCAAGGGCATACTCAATTCCATTCTCAGTTCCCCAGACAGCGGTACTAAGAAGTCTGGGCAGGCATTACAACGAAGGGACGGGAATGGATCAGGGGTTGAGCAATCCAAAATGGAGAGCGATGGTCCAGATCAGGCTGCCCCAGATGATGGGATCGAACTCCCAGGTTGTGCAAAGCTTCTCAAGAGAGCGGAGGGGCCTGTCTGTTGCCCATCAAGCAGCAAAGATGGCAAGCCGAGGCGAATGCTTCCAAAGGCAAGAAACGGTAGTCCTCCCCGGGCAAGGCTTCGAAGTGACTGCAGCGGTGCTGGTTGCAGGAAGTCCAAAATCAAGGGCGGTAAGCCAAAACAGCCTTGGCCAGAGGTCGATGCACTGAAGCCCAGGCATGCACGGCTTCTCAGCAGCGAGGCCGACCCGATCTGCAAGTGGTCGGAGGCAGAGGGTGACGAGCCAAAGCAACCTAAGCCAGAGGCTGGGGCTGGGGCTTCCAAGGTACCGAGAGATCTCATGAACAGCAAAGAGCCGGAGTCCGAGGAATCAGGGACGAGCAGTGGCACATCGGAGCAGGCCGTGCCCAGTGCTGGCAGCGGCGGCTCCGGCCTTGCGAAGCTTCGCGTGGAGGGTGGCGAGCCCGTGGTCTCACTGTCCGGAGCCGAGGATGGTGGCCCAAAGCGGAGCATGCCGAAGGCCGAAGGAAGACTGCCAGAGCAAACCATGTGTCTGGCTGGCAAGGCTGGCCCAGTCGTTGCAAGGTCGGGTGGGGGCGTCGTCGAGCCCAACCAGACCATGCCGTAGACGGGCGCCAAGACACCGAGTCGACAAGGTGTCCGGACAAACGGTGGAAACTCCGAGTGGATGAAATCCGGGGCCAATGACAGCACTTCAAGACAGGCCAAGCCATAGACTGGCAAGGGGGGGCCCGTGTGCGCAGAGCTGTGCAAAAGCATGGGGAGTTCTAAATGCACAAAGTCCGGCACCAGCGGCGGCGATCCGAGCCGTGCTGTGCCGTAGGCAGACGAGAACAGATCGATCCTGCAGAAAGCTTGCAGTGACGTGGGAGAGCCTAGATGGATAAAGTCCAACACCAACATCAGTGGCTCTAACCTGGACATGCCAAAGACCGAAGGAATCAGTTCAGGTCGCGTGAAGACACGAGCAAACAGGAGAAGGCCAGCATGGATGAGGTCAAGGGCAGATAGTGAAAGACCTGTTCGCGCCAGGCCATAGGCCGAAAGCAGGGAGTCCGTGCACACGGGAGACCTTAGAAACAAGCTCGAGTCCGAGTGCATAAAGTCTGAGACCAGTGAAGAGGATGCTGGTCGGGTCACTCCAAAAGCCAGAAGAGGGAGGCCAGAGCAACCGAAGCTTCGCGCGGACAGCACGCTGTCTGTATGCACAGGGTCCGAAGCCGACGATGGCAATCCCGAGCAGCTGACACCATACGTCGGAATCACAAACCCGAGGCAGCAGAAGGTTTGCAAAAGCAGCGATGAGCCAAAGGTGGCAAAATCCAGCACCAACAAGAACAGGCCCGGACAGACCAGACCATATGCCGACGGCACCAAGCCTGACCATGCAAGCGTCTTCAACAGCGAGGAAGATCCGACCTGAACGGAGTCGACAACGAGCAGCAAGCTTTCTGATCTGACCAGTCCATACGCCAAGGGCGGAGAGCCTAAACGAGCAAACGTGCGCGGAAACATTAGCGCTTCCACGCTCATGGAGTCTGACATTGGCACCAAGAAGCCGAGCCGAGCCAAACCATACGCAGAGGTGGAGGGGCCACAACGTGCCAGTGATTGCAAGGGCAAGGCGCTACCAGGGTTGACGAAGTCTGGCACTAGCAGCAAAAATCCTGGAGTTGAAAGTCCGTACACCGATGAGCTTGCATCCAAGTGGACAAAGGCTCGCATCAAAAGCACCTCGGTTGGACACGATCCAAAGGTAAGTTTCGCAGGGTACAGTACAAGGGTGCATGGTGCATCTAACCATCTAAGAGGACATGCATGCGTTGAGGCACCAGCATCTAAACCTAACGCCTCACAGCTAACATTGCAGCCAAGCCGCGACGCCGATGTTGACGAGGTCCAGAGCCAACGTCGGAGAGTCCAGCCAAGCCATGCCGTAAGCCGGCGTCGAAGGGTCCAGGTGGAAGAAGCCGCGCGACAGCAGCAGAGGCCCCGTGCAGGCACGGTCTGACGCAGAAGGCAAAGAACCCGACCTGGACAAGCCAGAGGCGAAGGTCGTCGGTCCCGGACGCATGGGCGCCTGCAGCAGTGAAGGCGAGCCAGAGGCAACTGGATCAGGCGCAAGCAAGGACAGGTCTGGGCAAGAAACGCCGTAGACCGGCAAGGCAAGCCCCATGCACGCGAGGCTGTGCAAGGACAACATAAGCTCTGAGCACGACATGTCTAAGGTCAAGGGCGAAGGCCCGGGCCTTAACAGGCCATACGCTAGGAGCGAGGAGCCAAAGTAGCAGGAAGCCCTCACAAACGTTGGAAGGCCGGGGTTAACGAGATCTGGCACAGGAAGGCTGGAGCCCGTCCAGGACAGGCCATAGACCAGCAAAGATGGACCAATCCGCATGGGCGACTGCAGCGATGTGGTCAGGCCAGTGGACACGAAATCCAACACCAGAAGGGTCGAACCCAGGGTGGAGAAGCCGAAAGCAAGCATCACCGGACCCAGTCGCAAAAGGCTCCTCAGCAACATCAGCGGCCCACACTGCGCGAGATCTGGTGCCAGCAAGGACACCTCCAAGCAGACCAAGCCAGAGGTGAGCGGCGATGCTCCGAGCTGTGCGAGAGATTGCAAGGGCAAAGGCGGATCGGTGTGCACGGAGTCCAGCACTGGCAAAAAGCTACCAGGGCGACTGGCGCCGTAGACCAGGATGGAAGATCCCAGCCAGACGAAGCTATGCAGCGGCATGGGCGAGCCAGGATTGATAGAGTCCGAGGCGAGCAGCAGGAGCTCCATGCGCACCACCCCATAGGCCAGCAAGCTTGGCCCCAAACGTGTGTGGCCGCGCAGGAACGTTGCACTTCCAAGGTGGGCATGGTCTGGCAGAAGCAGAGGCGAGCCCAAGCATGTTAAGCCGTAAACTAGAAGCGTCGGCTCCAAGCGCGACATCGACTTCGGTGGCAGTAGCGGGTCTAGATGGGCAAAGTCAAGCGCGAACGACGGGAAATCTACTCGACATAAGCCATATGCCAAAAGCAACAGGCCTGCCCTCGCGAGGCTGCGCAGCAACGTCATTGAGCCAGAGTTGCAAAGGTCGAGCGCGGATGGCGAACTTGCCAGTCTGGAAATGCCAAAGGTAGAAGGAATGAGGCCGGTCCGGGCAGACGCCTGCAAGGACATGAGGAGCCCCATCTGCACATAGTCCAAGATCGGTGCAAAAGGACCCGGCCACGTAAGCCCGTATGCAAACAGCACAGATCCAATCCAGACAGATGATCGTGAAGAGGGCGTGCTGTCCAGGCAGACAGAATCCAGCGCAGGCAAGCTCGAGCCCAAGCATGCGATGCCGAAGGCGGGCATCAAGGAGTCCAGGCGGGCGAAAGCCCGAGCCGACGTCGGCAACTCAAAATGCGCCATGTCCAACACCAACAGCAAGAAGTCAAGGCATGTCAGGCCAGACGTAAACGGGAAGAAACCCAAGCAGGCAAGTCCATGAATGGGCGGTGGCAAGCCGAGATGCGCAGAGTCCGAGAGCAACAAGGGCAAGTCCAAGCGATTCAGCCCGTAGGCAAACGACGACAGCTCCATATGCAAAAACGTCTGCAAGAGAAGGGATGACTCTGCACTCACGAAGTCAAGGACAGACAGTGACAATCCTGATGCGCTCATCCCATATGCAGGCATCGATGGCTCCAAGCGTAAGAAGCCACGGAGAGGCAGCACAGATTCTGAACACACGAAGTCCGGAACGAGCGTTGGCAGGCCAGGTGTCGAAAAGCCGTAGATAGAAGTCGTCAAGTCCGGTTGACAGGAGCTGCGTGAGGACGGAGACAGGCCGGCCCTTGCAAAGTCCAAGGCAAGCAGAGGCAACCCGAGACAAGCAATGCCGTATGCAAAGGGCGGGCTGCCCAGGCAGATCATGCTATGAAGCAGCAAAGGCAAGTCAGTGTGGATGGAGTCTGGTACCAGAAGAGTCAGCTCCAATCGCGTCAAGCCATACACAGGCAAGAGCACTTCCGGGCGTGCAAGTGTTTGCACAAACAGCAACGGGCCAAGGTGAACGGGATCCAATGTTGGTAGAGGGGAATCAGGCTTTGACATGCCGGACGCCAACAGTGATGGGTCGAGTCTCACAAGACTTTGGATTGGCGGAAAAGGACCCGCTGAGACGAGATCCAGGGCTGACAGGAAAAGGCCCACACATGCAAAGCCGTAGGCGGACATGAACAGGCCGAGTCTCAAAGAAGTTCGGACCGGTGACGCGAGCTCTGACTGCACGGGATCCGGCACCGACGACAAGAAACCCGGCCACGCCATCCCGAAAGGCGGCGAAGCAAAGCCACAGCAAACGAGGGAGCGGGGCGAAAGAGGGAAGCCAGCAGCAGCGTAGTCTGGAGCTGAGAGTGGAAGCTCGGGTCGGCTAAGCCCGTAGAGAAGCAGTACCAGACCCAGGTGCAGAAAGCCTTGCAAGGGCGTGGAGCTTCCCAAACACGTCACATCTGACGCCAGCAAGAAGAAGCCCAGGCGAGTGATGCCGAAGGCCGGAAGGGCCGGCCCGGAGCACGCGGAACCCCTGGCCGAAAGTGCGAGGCCAAGGTGAACGGGATCCAGCACAAGCAAAAGCAGGCCCATGCGGGTCAATCCGTAGGCGGGCAGCAAGAGCTCGAGACAAAGGAAGGACTGCAAGGACAAGCTGGGGCCTGATGCTGTCATGTCAGGTGTGGGCATGGGAGGCCCGGGCCTCGTCAGGCCATAAGCGAACGTTGGGAAGCCCAGTCGAAAGGAGGATCGCGGGAGCGAGGCCGATCCGAGGTTCGCAAAGTCGACAGCCAAAAGCAGGGAGCCCGTCCTGGCCATTCCATAAGCGGACAGCAAAGCTCCTGATCTAGCATGGGCTCTTGGAGGAGATGTGAAGCCCAAGTGAAGGGAATCCGGTGCCGGCATGGTAAGACCAGGTCGGAAGATGCCATAGGCAAACAAGCTGGGGCCTAGCTGTGCGGGCGTTTGCAGGAGCAAGGACAAGCCTGGGTGCGCCGGGTCCAGAATCGAAGGCAGCAAGTCCGAGCACACCATACCGAAGAGAGATGGCGAGAGCTCCGCGTGCACGAAGCTGCGCAAAGAAGCCAGGAAGCCGGGATGCAGGAGGTCAGGCGAAGACATGGAGCTGCCAGGGCAGGTCATTCCGAATGCTAAGGGTGCCGAATCCGTGCAGACAAAGCCGCGCAAAGGAGGCATGAATCCTGGATTCGCAGAGTCCAACAGCGACAACAGCAGCTCTGATCAAGTCAGGCCGGAGGCCGGAGGCATGAGGCCCGCTTGCAAGGGCGACTGCACCGGCAAAAGGCTGCCAAACTCGCTGAAGTCTGATGCAGGAAGCGAAACATCCGAGCATGCCATGCCAAAGACTGACATCATGGGCTCGGGCCGAACGAAAGATTGCAGCGACAGTAGGGATCCCATCTGAACATAGTCAAGTGCAGCAAGGGAGGGGTCCGAACAGGACATGCCATAGACAAGCATGGAGATGCCTAGTCAAACGGAGCCTCTCAAGAACAAGCTGGGGCCAAGGCACACAAAGTCAAGGGCCAGCAGCAGAGACTCTGACTGGCTCGCACCATACACGGATGGCGGAGATCCGATGCGCAAATGGCCACGCAGCGACGGGACGGGTTCAGGGTTGACGGGGTCAGGCACCAGCGATGTCAGCTCTAGGCGTGACATGCCAAAGGCTGGCAACATCAGACCGGTTTGCAGATATGACCTCGGCAACAGCAAGAGGCCCGAGCCAGCATAGTCAAGTACGAACAGGGAAGGCTCAAGCCGCGTGATGCCGTAAGCTGACAAAACAAAGTCAAATCAGGAGAAAGCTCGCAACAGCGACGAAGGTCCCAAGTGTACCAGGTCAAGGGCTGGTGGGAGAGGCCCCAAGCACGTCAGGCCGTAGACCAGGAGCGGCGCTTCTGGTCGAAGTGGGCCGCGGGCAGGCGGCAAGGGCCCTGGCTGCAAGGAGTCTAGCGCCAGAATTGGGGAGCCGAGCTTGCTCACACCGTAAGCAGACGTCAGGAAACCCGTGCGGCAGTGGCCCCGCAAAGAAGTACTCAGCTCTGGTTGTATGTGGTCAGGCGAGGGCAACAGTGCTTCCAATTTGCTTACGCCGAAGGCCGACAGCAGGAGGCCAAAGCATGCGAGCGCCTGGGGAAGCAGCAGCAATCCCGGCCGAACGCAGTCTGAGATTGACATGGCAAAGCCTGGACAACACATCCCATAAGCCAGCAGTGAGGGGTCCGACCGAACGAAGCCCTGCACTGGCAGCAGCAACTCGGCTTGCATGGAGTCTGGAATCAGCAGGGGAAGGCCTAGCCGTGCCAGTCCATATGTGAGCAGCACAGGGCCTGTGCGGAAAGAGCCCTGTAGTGACATGCTCAAGTCTGGGTGGATGGGGTCCAGCACCGGAGACAAGGAGCCTGACCGCGACAAGCCATATGCAGGCAACGCCAAGCCAAGCCTGAAGGACGTCCGCAGTGAAAGTGGCAGGTCAAGCCCAACAAGGTCCAGAACAACCGGTAAAGGACCTGAACAGGCCAGGCCATAAACCAACAGTAACGAACCAGGGCACGCATGGCTTTGGAGCAGCAGTAGCAGCTCGATTTTCACAAAGTCCAGCACGGAAGGAGGCAGGTCTGACCAGCACATTCCGTAGACAGGAAGTGACAGCTCCATTCGGCTGGAGGCTTGCAAGGGCAGAAGTGGTCCAATAGACATCATGTCAAGCACAGGCAACAGCGATTCCGATCTGGCGATGCCGGAGGCCGACGTGAAGAAACCAGGGCACACAAACATTTGCACCGACAGAGGCGGGTCAGCCTGACAGAGGTCCGGCGCTGACAAAGAGAAACCTGGCTGCGCCATCCCGTATGCAAGCAAGGAGGATCCGAGACGAGCGTGTGCCTGCAGCAGCAGCATCGACCCAGGTGTGATGAAGTCGGGCAGTGGCAAAAGGAATCCTGAGCACGTCACTCCGTAGATGGACAGGGACAGATCAAGACGACTAGAAGTGCGTACCGGTGGCAAGAAGCCAACGTTGATGTGATCCGAGACGGAAGACGGCACATCCGGTCAGGCCATGCCATACACTGGGGCTGAAGGCTCAGCATGACTGTGGCTGTGCGGCAACAGTGGTGGGTCTAGATGCACGGGATCCGGCACTGGCAGTGGGAAAGCCAGCCGGCAGATTCCGTAGGCGAACATCACTGGCTCTGAGCAGGCGAAGGATCGTGAGGACGGCGAGGGCTCCAAGTGCACGCGGTCCAGTGGTGGCGAGACGGAGCCAGGCCAGGACATCCCGTAGACAAGAAGAATCGACCCAGCTCAAGCAAGAGTCCTCAAAAACAGCAGAGGCCCTGAATGGACGAAGTCCAGGGTCGGCATAGGTAGGCCACAGCATGCGATGCCATAGGCAGAAGGCACAGGTCCGGCCTGCAGGAAGCTGCGAATAAGCAGCGCCAACCCGAAATGGATGGGATCCGGTGTAAGTAGCAATAGTCCTGGACATCCAACACCATAGGCAGAAGGTGAAAGTTCGACGCGCAAGTGCCCACGAGGGAACAGAGGCAGACCCATCTGTGCAGAATCTGACGCGAACAAACTGAATCCTGGCCGTGTCATTCCAAATGCAGGCAGCGAGAAGCCCAAGCGGACATGTCCGTGCAAGGATGACAAGCTGTCTGTGTGGATGGAATCCAGGATCGACAGAGACAGGTCTGGGCATGACATGCCATATGACAGCAGCATGGACTCACAGCAAGCGAGGCCGTGCAAGGAAGGCGTAGGGTCCAAGCTTGCAGGATCCGGCAAAAACAGGCTAGAGTCCGTACAACATGTGCCGTAGGCCAACGACACCGAGCCCGTCCGGACAAAAGTTTGAATGGACAACAAGGCACCAACGCTACCAAGGTCAAGCGCAAGCAGCATAGGCCCAAGCCTCATCAATCCAAAGGTAAGCAACGATGGGCCAAAGCATGCAAAATTCCGTAGAAGCATTGACAAGTCTGGTTGAACAAGGTCCGTAACGGGCAATGGCAAACCGAGCTTGCAGATGCCATAGGCTGGCAAGAATGCACCCGGGTGAACGGTTGTCCGAATCAGCAGCACGCTTCCAAAATTCGTGTAGTCCGGGGCCGAAAACATGCTTCCCAGGCGAGCCAGCCCGGAGGCCAGCAGCAGCAGCCCAGTGCAAGCAAGGGTTTGAGGTGACATCGGAAGCTCGAAGTGCACATAGTCCAGTACCAATGATGGAAAGCCCGGTCAGGACATGCCGGATACAGGGGGACTAGGTCCAAGTCTGACGAGGGATTGCACGAACAGGCTCAGGCCCAAGGAGGTGAAATCCAAAGCCAAAGTACTCAGTCCCGGTTGTGACAAACCAGAGATTGAGGGAGGTAGCTCAGGCCTTACGGAACCTTGCGCAAGCATCGAAGGGCCCGAGCTTATGAGATCCAAGACAGGCAGAGAACTTCCTGACCTGGCCAGGCCATAGGCCAATAGGAACAGTTCCGACTGCGCAAGGCTACGAATGGATGGAACGGGGCCGAGCTGAGCAGGATCCAAGGCTGACATCATCAAGCCCGGTCGCGAAAGCCCGGACACAGGTAAGGACACTTCCGTGCACATGAAGCTCCTCGAAGACAGGGCACTTTCAAAAGTTGCAAAGTCCAATGTGGACGGCAGTGACCCAATCTGACTCATGCCGTAGGCGAGAGTCGTGAGTCCCAGTTGGCTGTGCCCTCTCAGAGGCAAGGGGCTGCCGACCGACAGATGGTCCAGTGTCAAGAGCGGAAACCCTGTTTGCATGAAGCCGTATACTGAAGGAGGCGGGCCGGAGTATGCAGAATGCCGAAGCGACGAACTGAAACCTGGATGCACAAAATCCAGGACTGGCGACAACAGGCCCATGCAAACCATGCCATAGACCGGCATAGCAAGATCAAGCCAGATGAGCGATCGGGGAGGCAAGGGCAAGCCAAGGTGACACATATCTGAAGTGGGCATGGGCAGGCCGAGCCTAGTCATGCCGTATGCCGGCAGAACAAAGCCAGTGCGGGCATGGCCTCGGAGAAGCAACGAGAAGCCCAAATGAATGAGGTCCAAAGTGGACAGAGATGGGCCCGACCGTGCCAGGCCGGCCGCAGACAGAAGGGATCCGAGCTGAGCAGAAGCCTGCAATGAAATCGAAAACCCCAGATGAATGAAGTCGGGAACAAGCGGCGAGGGGCCAGGACGCGCCATCCCAGAGACGAACGGCCCGAAGCCTGTGCAGAGCATGGATCTCAAGGGAATGGGGAAGCCCAGACGCAAGAGGTCCGAAGTAGGCATCGGAGGCTCGAGGCATGTCATGCCAGAGGCTAACAGAGACGCACCAAGCCTGCAGAGGCCGTGCAAAGGCAAAAGGCTCTCGGGTCGGATGGAGTCCAAGACAGACGAAGGAAGGCCAAGCCAGGACATGCCATAGGCAAGGAGGGAGGCACCCACGCAGAAATGGCTCCTGGCCGGTGGAGAGCTCCCGAAGTTGGTGGGGTCCAAGATGAACATCAGAGATCCCAACCGGGCCATCCCGAAAACCGGAAGGGTGGAGTCCAAACGCGCGTGGTAGTGCAGCGGCATGGGCGGGCCAGGGTGAACACAGTCTGACACAAGTGTGCAGAAGCCCATGCAAGACATACCATAGGCTGGCATCAGCAAGCCTGTACAGAAGAAGCCCCGCAGTGACAAGCTGCTGTCCGGATGGACGAAGTCCAACACAAGCAAGAGGAGGCCCGGCTGCGATAAGCCGTAAGCCACAAGGGCCGGCCCCGTTTTGACGGAGGAGTGCATCGACAAGGAAGACTCCGGACTCGCAGAGTCCAGCACCGGCAAAGGCGGGCCAGGTCGGGTGAGGCCATAAGCAAAGAGTGCGAAGCCAATGCAAGCGGATGTCCTCAGAGGAGGGCTCGGTCCGGTGCGAACAAGATCCAATGCAAGCGGCAAGAAACCTGGCCGCACCATCCCGTAAGCCAACATCACAGACCCTGATCGGCAGGGGGCCCTCAGCAGCGGTAGGGAATCGGGAGCTACAGGATCCAGCGCAGGAGGCGAGAGTCCTGATGTGGACATTCCCCAAACCAACAACAACGGATCGGAGCACGCGGGAGTTCGCGAGAACAGCAGCAGACCCGCAGTCACGTGATCCAGCGCCAGAGTCATCGGTCCAAGCCTGGCAATGCCGTAGGCCGACAACGTGGGGTCCAAGCAGCCAAGGCCACGCAGCGACAAGGGAGGGCCCAAATGGACGTGATCGAGAATGAGCGACGATGGTTCGAGGCAAACCATGCCGTATGGAGGCAGTGGCGGCCCGGTTCAAGCAACGGACCTCAGAGACAGTGGAAAGTCGAGAGACACAAGGTCCGAAGCCGAAGGAAGAAGGCCGATCCGGGCCATGCCGAAGACGGAAGTCGTGCTATCAGGGCATGCGAACCCCTGCAAGGACGTCGAGGACTCAGTTTGGATGAGATCCAGCACCAACAGGAAGCTTCCCGGCCTAGACAAGCCGAACAAAGGCGAAGTGGACCCGATCTTCACGAAACCGTGCAAGGGCACCGAGAATCCCATGTGCCCAGAATCCGAGGCCGACGACAAAGGCCCGATCCTGGTCATGCCATAGGCCGACAATGAAAGGCCCACTTGCATGTGGTTCTGCGAGAGCAGAAAAGGGCCCAGGTGGCAGAAGTCCAAGGCAAAGAGGGGCAGCTCGAGGCAGACCATGCCGAAGGCCAGCAGCACTGAGCCCAGTCACGCATGGTTTTGCGAAGAAAAGGTGCTTTCTGAGTTGACGAAGTCGGCAACTGACGGCGAAGAGCCCAAACAGGTCAGGCCGTAAGCCGGAGGCGCCAAGCCAAAGCAGATGAATGCTCGGAGCGATGAAAGCAGCTCGGACTGGATGAGGTCCGAAGCAAACGTCGAGGATTCGAAGCAGGTCACACCGTAGGCTGGCGTAGGCGAGCCCAGCCTAGCGAAGCTGTGAGTTGGCAGGATCGGACCAAAGCTGCCAGAATCCGGCGAGAGCAGGCTAGAGCCCAAGCGCACACAGCCAGATGGGGGCATCGAAGGCCCCATTCATGCAAGGGTCCGCAGAAGCGGCGGCGAGCCCAAGTGGACGAAGTCTGGCACAGATGGGAAAAAGCCCAAGCAAACCAGTCCGTACACAGGCAGAAGGGGGCCAGCTCGAGCAGGACCTTGCACAGACAATCCTGGCCCCAGTTGCACAAAGTCCGAGGGCAGCATAGGCAGATCTGGACGCACGATGCCATAAACGGGCGAAGCCAGTCCAACCCTAGCATGCATATGCAGGGACGGCGAGGGCCCTACCGTTATATGGTCGGGAACCAACAGGATTGGGCTCAGCCTCTGCATGCCGTATGCAAACAAAGACGGTCCAGTTCGGACGAGACTCCTGGGCGGTAGGGAGAAACCTGAGTGCAGATAATCTGAAGTTGATGTAGACAAGTCCAGGCGGTTGAATCCGTAGGTTGACATAAACAGGCCTAGTTGGCAGTGGCCTTGCAAGAACGGCGAAAGGCCTACAAATACAAAGTCCAAAGCGGGCATCGATGAACCGAGTCGTCCCATGCCATAAAGAAGCAGCGGCAGTTCGATGCGAGCAGAGCTGCGAAGCAACGGCAGCGAATCCAGCTGGACGGAATCCAAAACTGGCATTGATAGCCCGAGCACCGACATGCCAAAGGCTGAAAGCATCGACTCCAGTTGAACGCAGGCTCGTGGTGACATGGGCAAGCCTAAATGAACGAAATCAGGAGCCAGCGGAAGGAAGTCCAAGCGCGTCAATCCATAAGCGAACGATCCCAGCCCGAGACAAATGAAGCTGTGCGAAGGCATGGTGCTGTCAAGTTGGACGGAGTCCAGCACGGACAGGATGAAGTCTGAGCATGCCAGGCCGAAGACCAGAAGCAAGAAGCCCAAGCAAACGAAGGATCTCAGCAAAGTCGTACTTCCGATGCCTGCGCAGTCGAGTGAAAACAGCAGAGGCCCGAGCCTCGTCACACCGTAGACCGGCAGAGTAACGTCCAAGTGCGCGTGGGATCTCAAGGACGTCGTCGAGCCGAAGTGCGAAGAATCCAGGGCCGGGAGAGGCAAGCCCAAACGCGACATGCCGTAAGCAAACACGGATGATCCCAGTCAAGCAAGAGCTCTCGAGGGCAGGGCCAGGCCTGAGTGGACGAGGTCCAAGGCAAGCGGTAGCGAACCAAGCCCGACCAGGCCATAAGCAGACAAGCTGAGGCCGGGTTGAAGAGGGCCCTTCAGCAACAGAAAGGGCCCCAAGCCAACGTAGTCCAAGACCGAAGGCGAAGAGCCCAGCTTCGTCATACCGGATGCAGATGGGGTGGAGTCGGGTCGCAGGAAACTTCGAGGCAAAGCTGCAAACCCTGCACTGACGAGGTCCAGCACCGGCAAGAAGGGCCCTGGCTTCGCGATTCCATAAAGCAGCAAGGGAAGCTCAGTTCGAATGGGAGACTGCAGAGGCAGGGAGAAATCTAGGGTGATGACATCTGGAGTGAGCGTGGGTAAGTCCGGCCTTGTCAGCCCGTAAGTTGGCAACGGAAGGTCAGATCGTACAGAGCCCTGCGGTAGCACGCTTGGCCCGAGCTGGACATGATCTGACGCGGGCATGAGCAGGCCCGGCGTATTCACACCGAAGAGTGAGAGAGAGGAGCCAAAGCGAGCAAGAGATCGCAGCGGCATTGTCGGCCCAAGCAGAGTGGAATCCAGCACGGGCATGAGAAAGCCCAGCTTTGATAGCCCAAAGATGGAAATCAGAAGGCCCGACCAAAGGTAGCTCTGGAGCAGCAGCAAACTTCCCGAGTGTGCAGGATCCGAGGCTGGAGGCAATGGCCCCGAACAGGACAAACCGTAGGCTGAAGCTAAGGGGCCCGTCCTAATGAGGCTTTGAGGGGATGTTGGCAAGCCGAGGTGTAGAAAGTCGAGGGCAGACAGGGATTTCTCAAGCCGAGTCTTGGAGAAAGCCGGCAGGGGGAATCCCAGGCGAGCAAGACTCAGGATCGGTGGAGCCAAGTCGATGTTGACAAGGTCCAAAACTGGTGGCATAGGGCCCAAGCACACCAGTCCGTAAGCTGACAACAGAGGGTCCGAGCAAATGTGGCTGTGCAGCAGCATCGGAAGACCCGACTGCACATAGTCCAGCACCAAAAGGCTGGAGCCCATGCATGTCAGCCCATACACTGGCGGAAAAAGTCCCGGACGGACAGAACTGCTTGGAGAAAAAGCAGAGCCCAAACTCATAGCGTCCAGCGCAGACAGGCTCGGACCGGGGCGAACGAGGCCATAGGCAGAGAGCGCCAGCCCAGGCTGAGAAGGTGTCCTCGGCGACGGAGACGGGCCTAAATGGACAAAATCGACAACAGGCATCGGCGACTCTAAGCAGACCATGCCATAGACTGAAGTCAGGGTGCCGGGGCAAACGAAAGACCTCAACAGCAACGTGAAGCCTGGGGACAAAGAGTCAAGCAAGGACAGGGAGGAGCCCGTCCGTGTCAGCCCGTAGACCGACGGCGGGGGTTCAAGCCGGATGGCGCTGTGTAATGGAAGCGATAGTCCAAGCTGCATGGAGTCAAGAGTTGGCAACAGCAGCCCTGGCCTCGACATGCCGTAAGCGGGTGAAGACAACTCCATCCTGGCAAGGCCTCGAATAGGCAGTGTGGAGCCCGGATGGATGGGATCCAGGGCCAAGGGCATCGAATCCAAACGTGCAATCCCGTAGACCAGCGTAGCTAAGTCGAGATGGAGGAATCCTCGCAGGGACGATGCCGATCCAAACGTCAAGTAGTCCGACACCAACAGGGCCGAGCCGGGATGACATATTCCGTAGGCCAAAGGGGGAGACCCAGAGCGGGCAAGACCACGCGACGAGGAGCTCAAGCCCGTGTGCACAAAGTCCAATGCCGACGTGCCCCAGTCCGATCAGCCCATGCCATAGACCAAAGGAGGGAGGCCCAGGCAAAGAAGGCTCCTTGTCGACATCAAAACTTCTGGAGATGCAGAATCAGGCACTGACATGCTGAAGCCTGGCTTCGCCGTTCCATAGAGCGGCGTGGTGGAACCCGGACGCCAATGGGATCTCAGCAACATGGAGAAGTCTGGATGCAAAGAGTCCAGCGCAAGCAGCAAGAAGCCTGGCCTAGATAGACCGTAGACGGGCGAAGCGGATTCGAGGCGAATGGAAGACCGCAAGAGCAGGGGAAGCTCTGGATTCACATAATCCAGTGCAAGAGGTGCGAGGCCCGGATTCACCACACCGAAAGCAGGAAGACTGAAGCCCGAACAAGCGTGAGAACGCACAGGCAGCGAGCTTGCACCGACGAAGCAGTCTTTCACGACCGGATTTGAGCCTAGACGACTGATGCCATAGACAAGTAGCGAAAATCCCGAGCAGATGTGGCTCTGCAAAGATAGGAACGCCCCCAGACTCAGGTGATCCGGTACAAAAAGCGAGCTGCCCAAGCCGACCATTCCGTAGGCAGGCGACGGCAACTCCGTTTGGGCAAGCGCTCTGGGCAGCAAGGAGCTCTCCGGGTTCACGGAGTCCGGAGTGGATGAGGACAGTCCCAACCTGCCGATGCTGTAGACAAGCATGCTGGATCCCGATTGCATAAGGGAGCGCAGCAGCGAGGAGGATTCTGGATCCGCGAGGTCTGATGAAGACGGAGGCGAGTCCAACCACATCAGCCCATAAGCTGGAAGCAGTGGACCTGCCTGCGCATGGCTGCGAAGAGACAAGGAACTGCCAAGCAGGGCGTAGTCGAGCAGAAACAGTGTGAAGCCCAACCTCATCACGCCGTAGAGCAACACAGAAGGGTCCGTGCGCGCAGAACTTTGCACAAACGACGGTGAATCTGGCTGCACAAAGTCCAGTGTTGACAGCGTGCTTTCCAAGCAGGTCGCGCCGTAGGCCAGCGAAGAAGGGCCGGTCCAGCAGTGGCTATGTAGTGGCACAAGGCTTTCCGTGTGCACGAAATCCAGCACAGAAAGCAAGACATCCAGATAGCTCATTCCGTAAACCAACAACACGGAGCCCGAGCAAAGAAAAGCCCTTACCGGCAGGGGAGGGTCTGAAGTCACGGAGTCGGGCACGAACGGGAGCGGGCCCGGACGCATCAAGCCATACTGTGAAGGAAGAAAGCCTGGACATGCGGAACCGTGAAGAGAAGCTGAGCTGTCAGAGTGGCAAAGGTCCAGGGCTGGTGATGGGAGCCCAGGTCTCGTCAGGCCATAGGTCAAAAATGTGGGTCCCATGCGGGTAGATCCTTGCAGTGATAACAAGGGATCAGTTTGCACAGGATCAGGAGTCGACATCGATGGCTCGAAGCGGCTCGTTCTAAAAGGGGACAGAGAGGGCTCAATACAAGCAAGGCACTGTGATGGCAGCATGAGCCCGAGGCTTACAAGATCAAGCGCCAACAGAGGCGAGTCGAGCTGTGCAACTCCGTAGAGAGGCATCGACGAACCCATACAAACAAAACCACGGAGTGGAGGACAGCTTCCAAGGTGTGTGGAATCCAAGACCGGCGTCAGTGCATCAGGACAAGTGACTCCATATGCCGGCAACAGCGGCCCCGGTCGGCAAAGGTTTCGAACCAAAAGCAATGGGCCCATCATCACGTAATCTGGCACAGGCAAGCTTGCCTCGGGCCTGCTGATGCCATAGACGGACGCTAGGAGGCCGGAGCGAAAGTGGTTTTGCAGTAGCAACAAGCTTCCCACAGAGACAAGGTCCGAAACAGACAGGGGCAAGCCCGAACAAGCCACGCCGAACGCGAACATCAAGAATCCCGAATGCACCAGGCTACGCAGCAGCGGAAGGCTGTCAGCCTGCATAGGATCAAGCATCAGCAAGAAGAAGTCCGGTCTGGCACAGCCAAAGGTAAGCATGCTGAAGTCGAAACATGCAGGTGCTTGCAGAAGCAGAAGTGGACCTAAATCCACATGGTCCAAAACCGGAAGCAAGCTGTCAAGGAGGGATATGCCATATGCAAAGAGGGAAAAGTCCATTTGCGCAGATCCTTGCAAGAGAAGCGCCGATTCCAGCAGAACAGGGTCTGGCATTAAAAGAGTGAACCCCGATCTGGCCGCACCATAGGCGATTGTCGAAAGGTCCGAGCACATGTGGCTGCGAGGCAACGACAGAAAGCCCACGGCTACAGAGTCCAAGACCGGCATTGGAAGGCCCAACTTCGAGAAGCCGTAGGCCAGCGGGGGCAAATCTGCACACATCGAGCTATGCAGCGACGGCAGGGGTCCTGAGTGCAGGAAGTCAGGGGCAGGAAGTGAAAAGCCAGGGCAGGTCATGCCCCACACAAGAAGAGCCAAGCCCAGGCAGACAGGGCTTTGCATCAGAGGAATCAAGTCTGAATGCACAAGGTCCAAGACGGCCAAGAAAAACTCAGGACGTGCTAGGCCATAGACGGGCATCGGGAAGTCGAGGCAGAAGGACGATTGCAAGGACGGCGAAGCTCCCGAGTTCACAGAGTCCGATGCAAGCGCAGGCAGGTCGGGAGTCGAGATGCCATAGAGAAACGACAAAAAGCCAACTCTGATAGATCCTTGCAAGAGCAGCATGGAACCCATGTGGATGAAGTCCAAGATTGACAAAGGGAGCCCTGGTCGCGTCATGCCGAAGGCCGGCATAATGGAGCCCACCCGCATCATGCTTCTAAGAGGCAAGGTCAGACCGGGGCTTATAAAGTCGGCAGCAGGCGAGCTGAACTCCGGCTGAGAGATGCCGGATATTGGAAGCGACGGGTCAAGGCAAGTAAAGCTGTGAAGAGGCGATGAAAGGCCTAGATGCAAGGGATCCGATGTAGAAAGGGGCAGTTCGGGACATGTCACGCCAGAGACCAGCAGAAACGGATCTGACCACAGGTGGCTTTGCATCGGCAAGACAGGTCCCGGGCGAACAAGGTCCAAAACCGACAAAAGCACTTCCGGTGCAGCCACCCCATAGACGGACGACAAGAAGCCCGAGCAGATAAGCGACCGTGGCAGCAAGGAGCTTCCTGTGTGGATCATGTCTAGGGCAAGAAGTGAGCTGCCTGGCCACGACATGCCAAAGACCAGAAGCAAGATGTCTGAGCAGCTAGAACCACGTGACAGTGAGGAGAAGTCGGAATGGATAAAGTCAAGCAGGGGCAGCGGCAAGTCAGGCCAGCACATTCCATACACCGACAAGAACGCTTCCGTTCGGGCATGAGCTCGTGGCGAGGGTGGCGGCTCCGAGTGCACGAAGTCCAGTGCAAAAGGCGACAGGTCTGGGCAAGTGCAGCCGTACACCGACGGCGCGGGACCCAAACAGGCGAAGCTCCGCAGAAGCGAAGAGGCACCCAGCGAAATGGAATCCGACGGTAACACAAAGACTTCGAGGCGGCTCATGCCATAGGCGGGAATCGTCGAGTCAATGCAGCAGAGCGCTCGCAACAATGGAGGAAACCCCAGATGCACGTAGTCCAAAGCCAACAAAGTGGAGTCCAATTGGGACATGCCATACACTAGCAGGCTTGATTCAAGACGCAGGTAGTACCTTGATGATATCGCGGATCCTGAATGCACGAGATCAGGAACAAGCGAGGTCAGTCCAAGCTGCGACATGCCATAGGCGGACAGAGCGAAATCTGCTTGCATCCAGCATCGCAGAGACGCTGCCGATCCCGGCTGAACAGAGTCCAGGACAGGCAGAGGAAGTCCAAGCCTTGCGATGCCGTAGACCAAGGCAGCACTGCCAGGCCTTGCAAAGCCATGAGCCGGCAAAGAAGAGCCCGTCTGCAAAGGGTCGAGCAGTGATGGCGAGAGACCCAAGCGCGACATGCCGCAAGCAAACAGTGGCAAACCTGGACAGGCAAGCGTCCGCGGCAGCAATGGGCTCCCTACCAACAGGAAGTCCAAGGTCAACAGCAAGAAGCCGAGACGTGTAATGCCATAAGCAGGTAGCATCGAGTCAGTACAGCAGAAGCCGTGTAAGGAAGGCAAGAAGCCAAGAGAAACAAGGTCCACAGTCATCGATGGTGAATCGGGTCGCGTTAGCCCAAAAGCAAGTGGCGCAGGCCCAAGTCTTGCATGAGTTTGTGGGGGGAATGGGAAGTCCACGCTTGCATGATCAAGCAACGGAAGCAAGAAGCCTGACCTGCTGACGCCATAGGCAGGCACCGCCACTTCCGAGCAAGAGGGCGTTTGCAAAAAGAGCGGGAAGCCCATGTGCACAAAGTCCAGCACAAGCAGAAGGGAGTCAGGTCATGTCATGCCGTAGGCCAGCATGGAGGAACCAAGCCTGCCAAAGCCCCTCAGCGAGAGGGAGCTTTGCATGCTGGCGTAGTCGGATGCCAAGGGCGTCCTGTCGGCTTGCATAGGGCTGCTCACGAGCATCGAAGGCTCCAGGCATACAAAGTCCAAGATGAATAGTGGCGGCCCCGAGCAAGCCAAGCCGAAGACGGGAGGAGACGATCCCAAGCACGAAGGTCCTCTTAGGGGCAAAGGGGACTCGGTTTGCACATAGTCCAGCACTGACAACGGAAGCTCGGGCCACGATAGCCCATATGCAAACGAAGGTAAGCCCAGGCGTGCAAAGCTTCTCACCAAGTACGAGCTACAAAACTCGGCATAGCCTCTTGTCCTAAAGCCCTCGGTCACCACACACATGCCATACATGAACATGGATGGCTCCAGGTAGGCGAAGCCGTGCAAAGGGGATGCTGAGCCAACCGTGACAAGATCCAGCGCCAGCAAAGGGAATCCCAAGCATGCAAAGCCATATACGAAGAGCGTGGAGCCAGGTCGTGACATTGTGTGTACAAGCAATGTGCTACCCAAGGCGAAATGGTCCGGCACCAATAAGGAGATTCCCAGGCGGCCCATCCCATAAACTGACATAGCACTTCCGAGACAGATGAAGCTTTGAGGAGACAAGAAAGGGTCCAGGTGGATGTAGTCAAGAGCTGATGACATGCTGCCGGGACGGGACATTCCATAAGCAGGCATTGCTAGCCCGGTCCTCTGGAGGCCTCGGGTAGGTAGCGATGGCCCAAAGTGCATGAGATCCAAAGCCGATGCGGTCAGCTCGACACATGCCAGGCCATACGTCGGTGCCAGGGAACCAAGTCAAACAAAGTGTCGAAGAAACATAGGCAAACCAATGCTCACATGATCAGGGACCGAGGGTGGTGGCCCGAGCTGCGTCATGCCATAAGCAGGCAGTATCAAACCCAATCGGCAGTGCATTTGAGGCAGCAGGGAGAAGCCCAGATGGAGGAAGTCTAGGGCTGGCAAGATAAGCTCCGAACAGGTCATGCCATACACAAGCATCGTCGGCCCTGTGCGAAACATGCTGCGCATCAGAAACATCAGGCCCGTGCTGGCGAAGTCTGGCATCAACAAGGAAACGCCAAGCCTTGTCATGCCAGAAATCGGTACCGCAGGCCCCGGTCAACCGAAGCCACGCAGCAGAAGCGTCGGCCCAAGATGGACAAAATCCACCACAAGCAGCAGGGGTTCGAGCCGAATCATGCCATAGGCGAACAAGCTCGGGCCCAGTCAAGCAGGTGACTGCAGCAACAGACTGAAGTCCATGTGGGTAGAGTCCGGTGCAAGCAGCAAAGGCCCCAGCCTCGTCAAACCGTAGACGGGCGATGCAGGCTCCGGACGGATGAGGCCACGCGCCAAAAGAAGAGCCCCAGGGTGCACAAAGTCCAAGGCAGACAACAGGCTGTCAAGGCAGGACATGCCGTAGGCTGACGTTGCGGGGCCAGCTTGCATGAGACCTTGAGTCAGCGAAGAGGCTCCGACGTCAACGAAATCCGGCAGTGGAGCAGTCGGGCCCGGGCAAGCCACGCCGTACGCCGACACGAAAGGGCCGGGGCGCACGAAGGAGCGCAATGGCGGCAAGGAACCCGTGTGGGCAGAGTCAAGGGCCGAAGGCGTCGAACCTGCCCTGGCCATGCCGTAAGCGGACAGAGCCGCTCCCGAATGGCTAAGAGCTTGCAACAGCGAAACGGAACCAAAAGTGCAGTGGTCCGAGACAAAGACCGGAGGGCCCAAGCGCTGCATGCCGTAGAGCGACATGGCGAGACCCGACCTTGAAAGGGCCTTTAAGGAAGCGGACGGATCGATGTGAACGAAGTCTGGCACAGACGAGGACAGTCCGGGCCTCATCATGCCGTAGGTCGACAGTACGAAGCCCAGTCGCACAAAAGCTTGCACCAAAAGAGTGAAGTCTGTGCTCATATGGTCCGGTGCGGCCAACAGGGAGCCAAGCCAAGCCACTCCATATGTAAGCGAGGCTGACCCCACCCTAGCAGATGCACGAAAGGGTGACACGGACCCGGGATGCACATAGTCCAGCACAAACAAGGAAAGTCCAGGGCAAGTAATTCCATAGGTCAGGACAGGAAGGTCGAGCTACGCTGGGCCACGTGACGCCGGAGCGGATCCCATCGAAACAAAATCCATCGCGGAAGGGAGAGTGTCAAGACAAGAAATCCCAGACACTGACAGCAAAAGACCCGTCCGGCAGAGCGTACGAAGTGCAGGAGAGGCATCTGTCTGGATAGGGTCCAGGGCGGGCGTTGGAGACTCTGACCTGCTCAAGCCGGAAGCAGAGAGCATCAAACCTGAACGAACGAGACCACGAATGGCCATCAAGGGCCCCAAATGAATAAAGTCCAAAGCCGATGTAAACACTCCAAGCCAAGTCAGTCCGGACACCAGCGGCATAGGATCAAGCCGAGCACAGCCACGCAAAGGCGGCACTGGGCCGATGTGTGCAGAGTCCGGTGCAGACGGCAAGGGATCCATTCGGCTCATCCCGTACACCGACGTGATGAGGCCCGTTCTTGCGGGGCTCCTCGATGTCAGGAGGCTTCCGAAACTGACAGAATCAAGGGCAAACATCAAGGAGCCAAGCTTTGCGACGCCATAAGGCGACACAGTCGCCCCAGGTTGTGAGGAACTTTGTGGAAGCGTGGAAGGGTCTGGCGTGATAAGGTCCGATACTGATGACGGCAAGCCGAGGCAACACATTCCGTAGGCAGGCGTTGCTAGATCCGATCAAGCAAGCATTCGCAAAGACATGGCACTGCCCACCTTTATGAAATCCAAAATGGGCAGGAGCAAGCCTAGCCAGGTTAAGCCGGACGCCAACATGATCGGTCCAGTGTGAAGAAGGGTTTGGAGAAGCAGCGATGATTCCACGTGCGCACGGTCCAAGACGGGCAACAAAGGGCCCAGCCTCGCCATGCCATAAGCCGAAAGCATGAGGCCAATGCACATGCATGCTTGGAAAGGCACGGAGCTGTCCGAATGAGCAAAGTCCAGGACGGACAGGAAAAGCTCAGGACGAGTCATGCCATAGGCCGGCAGCACGAATCCAGTGCGTAAGAAGCTTCGCGTCAAAGGCAAAAAGCCGGAGGTGGCATGGTCTGGCAGCAGCGTCGAAGACCCCGTCCACGCTACACCATACGGCAAAGTCGTCAGACCTGGCCAAGCAAAGCTCCTGGGTGAAAACGGTGGCCCAGTGTGCGCAAGGTCCGGCAGAGGAAGGGTTGATCCCAAGCGCATCATCCCATATGAAAGCAGCACGGAACCGGGTCAGCTGGAGCTGTGCAGAGGTGGCAGGCTGCCAGTGTTCACGAGGTCTGCGGCCAACAGCGGGAAGCCTGATCAACTGATGCCATATGCTGGCATTGGCAAGCCCAAGCGCACAAGTCCCCGAACAAACAAGGACGAGGAGAAAGTCACGGGGTCAAGGGCAAGCGGTAGGGCACCCGGGCAAGCAATGCCATAGACGAACATCAAGGGCCCTGTCCTGGCGAAGCCTTGGGGGAGCGGCAGAGAGCCCAGATGAACGAGGTCCAGCGCCAGCGATGACAAACTCAGCCGGGCTGAGCCGCTGAGCAGCAGCGAGGCTCCCAAGCAGACGGAGGCCCGTGCGGACGTCGGCGGCTCAAGGTTCACAGCATCCGAAGCCGGCATCAGGAACCCGGGCCACGACAAACCAGACAGGGACAGGGACGCTTCCGTCTGAGCAAAGGTCCTCAGAAGAAGTGAGGGGCCGACTTGAACGAAGTCCGAGGCAAACAACAGCGGCCCAGGGCAACCAAGCCCGTAAAGTGGTGAGGTTGGGCCCATGTGGCAGCAGGCTCTCGAGGACATCAAGGCATCCAAGGTGGCAGAGTCAAGTGTTGACGGGAGAGGGCCGGGCCAGGAGATGCCGTAAGTTGGCAAGGGAAGGCCTAGACAAGCAAAGCTGCGGGGCAGTAGCGAAGCTCCCGGGGTCAAAAAGTCGACCACCAACAAGAACGCTTCAATGCAAGAGACGCCGTAGGCCAAAGGGAAGGACCCTGGCCGAGCGAAGCTTGTCACGAAGAGGCCACTGCCCGGCTCCACATAGTCATAGGCCAGCATTGCAAAGCCAAGGCGAGCCATTCCAAAGGTAGCCGTCGGAGAGCCCAGGCGGATGTACGTTCGCAAAGACAAAGGCACATCAAGAGACACGTGGTCAAGCACAGGTAAAGATGTCCCCAACTGTGCCAAGCCGTATGCAAGCAAGGAAGACCCAAGCCTGGCGAAGCCCTGCATGGCAAGAGGCAAATCAATCTGCAGCACATCAGGGACGGCCAACAAATCTCCCGGGCGACTCATTCCATACACGGACATCGAGCTGCCCGTTTGAACAGAGCTCTGTGCAAGCAGCAGCGACCCGAGCATGAACAAGTCCAAGGTGGAAAGGAAGGCTCCTGGTCGGGTCAGTCCATAGGTCAACGCCAGCAAGCCCATGCGAACACATCCACGGAGAAGCGAGGAAGACTCAACATGCACAAAGTCCGAAACCGGTGGCGCCGGCCCTGTGCACGCGGCACCGTATGCAGGCAGCAAAGCTCCCAATCAAGCGAGCCCATGAAGCAGCGTGATGGGGCCAGGATGGATGAGGTCCAGCACGAACATGAGCGATCCAAGGCGAGACAGCCCATAGGCGAGCATGGCGGAGTCCAATCAACCATGTGTCCGGAGTGGCGGCAAAGCGTCCGGATGGATGAAATCTAGAGTCGAAAATGCAGGGCCCAAGCACACACTGCCATACGCAGGCATCGTGGGACCAGGGCATGCAAAACTGTGCAATGGCAAGGCGCTCCCAAGGTGTGCAAGGTCCGGCACAGACAGCAACAGCCCGGGGCTCGTCATTCCATAGATGAACATCACCGGATCAGAGCAGATGTAGCTGCGCAATGGCATCAGCAAGCCAAGATGCACAAAGTCTAAGACGGGCAGCAAGGCTCCAGGACACGCCATGCCATAAGCCGACGTCGCACTTCCGAGCCGCACAAAACTACGCAAAAACACGGCTGACCCACAATTCGCGAGCTCTGGTGCCAACATTGCAGAGCCGGGGCAGCTCATGCCATAGGCAGGCATCACGGCACCTGATCGGATAGGCGTCCGCAGCACCAAGGGTAATCCAAAGTCCACAGGGTCAAGTGCTGCCAGCAACACGCCGGGTCAGGTGATGCCGTAAGTCAACACAGCACTGCCCGCTCAAGAGGGACTTTGCGCCAGTGGTAAAAAGCCAAAGTGTGTGAAATCTGGAGCCGGCAGCATCGGACCAAGACCTGAGAAAACGCTCTGCATGTTTAGGCTTTTCTATAAACATCCTGCGGACAACGGAGAAACGAAGCATGTTCGCCTTTGAAGCCGCTGTTTGAGCGCCGCACGTGCTTGCTCAAAGAGGGGCAGCGAACTCCCTAGGCGCGCGAAGCACGCCACCAAGAGGGAGCTGCCCGAGAGCGTAAAGTCCTTCACAGGACCCGAGAGTGTAGATATGGCCTAGATGCGTAGGGGTGCGTGGGTGTCTGAGAAACTAGAAGTCTGTGAATGAATAGCCCGCTATCTATCATCGTCACCGTCAAGTGGTCCTGATCACGGAGATGATCTGCGAATCTACGATTGACTTCGGATTACGGACCAACTGCAACCTTAGCAACCTGTCTCGATTGAAGAACAATGCGGAGATCCTTTGCGAACAACGCGCTGCCAGTACGAGCCACACCAAAGACAGGCGTCGTAGAGCCTGGCAAGCCAGGGCGTCCCAAGGCTCAGCTCACGTCAAAAAGAAAGTTTGCCTGAACGAGCGAAGGACGCGATGCTCATCGAACTGCCGAAGTTGGCGTGGTTTTGGACGGAGAATACGGCGCCTCGCAAAGGGCAGTGCTTCCCTGAGGCTCTCTCCGATGAAAATGCCGAGGCAAGGGCCCAAGAAGATGGCGTCGCCCTGGATGTTGAACGAACTACCGAGCTGCACCTCAGGGCCAGGATGGCATGCGTTACCAGCCCGGATCGTCTTTCCTTTCCTGGGCCACTGGCATGGTCTCTGACAGAGGCTGTGGAGGCTAAGTTGGTGTGACCTCAGCACGGCACGTCGCGGCACCTTACATGCAGCTCCGCTTCCTGCCACCACCAGCTGCAGCTTACAAGCCTTAGGGCCTAAAGAGTGAAGACAAGATCGTACAGCTGCTTCGCTTCGCGTAATCTGCACCACATAAACCTTCTTGTTTCGTGGCGCATCTCTTCTGTGCCGGTTTTGCTGTTCCATTGCTCATGTTGCGGTCCTCCAAGGCCTGGAACACCACACACATATACACACTTTGGCACGGCACGAAGGACTGCGACGAGCTATACTGACAGGACCAAACGACGACTGATTGCGGCAACCATACAGAATGACAAAACAGCTTCACTCTAGAGCTGGTTACTCCAGTGCCACAGGGGGCTCACTGGCAAATCCGAAAGCAGGTACGTCTGGCTGAGCAGGCCAAATATCACCCCGCACTGACAGTGTCTTCGTTGGGCAGTGACTGTCAGGCGTGCACTGCCCCCCTGCAGCAAAATTGTAGTCTCACTCAAAGGTCGCCATGCCCAGGCATGCACACACACACACACACACAAACTGTGTCTGTCTGTCTCTCTCTCTCTCTCTCTCTCTCTACCGGGACAGGAGAAGCAGGGCGCGCCCCACTTCCCCGCGCGCGCACGCGCACCCGCAAGTCTTGGCGGGGTTTTTGGGTTTCCCCCCAGGCTGTCTGTCTCTCTCTCTCTCTCTCTCTCTGTGCGTGCGTGCGTGCGTGCGTGCGTGCGTGCGTGCGTGCGTGCGTGCGTGCGTGCGTGCGTGCGTGCGTGCGTGCGTGCGTGCGTGCGTGCGTGCGTGCGTGCGTGCGTGCGTGTGTTTGTTTGT